TGCCTATCTGGCCAGCCCTGCAATGGATTGAACAGTGGCCCCACCCGAAAGATATACATCTACCCCAAACCTGTGAATGTGACCTTTGGAAAAAGGGTCTTTGCAGATGTTATTAAGTTAAGATCTCAAGATAGATCATCCTGGATCAGCGTGGGTCTTAAATCCAATGACAAGTATCCTTCTCAGAAAAGGAGAGAAGACACAGGGAAGAAAGCGATGTAAAGATAGAGACAGAAATTGGAGTGATAAACCTACAAGGATTGCTGGCAGCAACCAGAAGATAGCATAGAGGCCTGAAATAGATTGTCCCTCGGAGCCTCCGTAAGGAACCAACCAGGCAGACACCTTGATTTCAGGCTTCTGGCCTCCTGAACTGTGAGAGAACAAATTTCTGTTGTTTGAAGTCTCCAGGTTTGTATCAGTTTGTTACAGCAGCCTTGGAAAATAAATATAAGTTCCCAATAAAACCGTGGGTGCTGAGTTTCTGATGAACTTACCTGGTTGGCAACATTTCACACCCATTGTCACAACTCCCTGGGACAATTAAGTTTGTCCTGTGTAACTACGTGATGACCGTGGAAGCTGGCACCTGGTCTCCCCCAAACTTAGCCGCATGAGCCTTTTCCCTTTGCTGATTTTACCTCGTATCCTTTTCCTGTAATAAATCATGGCCGTGAAAATGACTCTATGCTGAGTCCTATGAGCCCTCCTACAAATCATCAAATCTGGGGGTGATCTTGCAACTCCCATGCAATAAAAACTACAAAGCACTGCTGAGAAAAATTAGACAAGACCTAAATAAATGGAGAGACATGCTATGTTCATGGATTAAAAGACTCAATATTGGGCTTCCCTGGTGGCACAGTGGTTAAGAATCCGCCTGCCAATGCAGGGGACACGGACTCGAGCCCTGGTCCGAGAAGAACCCACGTGCCGCGGAGCGACTAAGCCCGTGCGCCATAACTACTGAGGCTGTGCTCTAGAGCCCGCGAGCCACAGCTACTGAAACCTGCACGCCGAGAGCCCGTGCTCCACAACAAGAGAAGCCACTGCAATGAGAAGCCCGCGCACCGCAACGAAGAGTAGCCCCCGCTCGCTGCAATTAGAGAAAAGCCCACACGCAGCAACAAAGACTCAACTCATCCAAAAATAAATAAATAAATAAATTTAGTTTTAAAAAATTACTTAAAATAAAGACTCAGTATTGCCAAGATGGCAATTCTCCCCAAACCTGATCAATAGATTCAGTGCATTATCGGTGAATTTTTCAGCAGTTGGTCGTTTTTTTTTAATAGAAACTGACAAGCTAACACTAAAATTTACACAGAAATGCAAAGGATGGAGGTAGCCAAAACAGTTTTGAAAATTAGAGGACTCACACTTCTTGAATTCAAAATGTACTATAAAGCTAGAATAATCAAGACAGAGTAGAGTTGGCATAAGGATAGGCATATATATCAATAGAACAGAGTAGCAAAAAAAAAACCCTCAAAAATATGATCAATTGATTTTTTTAATAAAGGTGCTAAGTCAATTCAATAGGAAAGCAATATCTTTTTTTTTTTGACCACACTGCACGGCTTGTGGATTCTCATTTCCCTGACCAGGGATTGAACCTGGGCTGCAGCAGTGAAAGCCCAGAATCCTAACCACTAGGCCACCAGGGAACTCCCAAGCAATATCTTTTTTTTTTTTTTAAAGAGACAGTCTTTGACTTATAATGATTTTTTAAAAATTATTTATTTATTTGTTTATGTGGTTGCAGTGGGTCTTAGTTGTGGCAGGCGGGCTCCTTAGTTGTGGCACGTGAACTCTTAGTTGTGGCATGCATGTGGGATCTAGTTCCCTGACTGGGGATCGAACCAGGCCCCCCTGCATTGGGAGCATGGAATCTGAACCACTGCACCATCAGGGAAGTCCCCCAAGCAATATCTTTTTAAAAAATGATATTGGAAAAATTGGTTATCCACATTCCAAAAAAAAAAAAAAAGTTAAACCGTTACTTCACACCATACACCAAAATTAGTTCAAAATGGATCACAGCCCTAAATCTGAGAGGTGAAATACTTCTAGAAGAAACATAGGAGAAATTATTTGGGTTAGGAAAAGATTCTATAGATATGAGACCATAAACATACTACCAAAAAGAAAAATATTCATAACTTAGACTTCATCAAAATAAAAAACCTTTGCTCTTCAAAAGATGCCATTAAGAAAAATAGAAGACAAGCCACAAACCAGGAAAAAATTTTAAATCGTATGTCTGATAAAGGACTTGATTCTAGAATATATATTTTTTAAAAATCTTACAACTCATAAGACAAATGACCCAATTTAAAAAGAGGCAAAAGATTTAAATAAACATTTCACCAAAGAAGGTAATACAAATGACTTAGGGGCACACGAAAAGATGCTCAAGGGACTTCCCTGGTGGTCCAGTGGTTAACACTCTGCGTTCCCAATGCCGGGGGCCTGGGTTTGACCCCTGGTCAGCGAACTAGATCCCACAGGCATGCCACAACTAAGAGTTCGCATGCCGCAACTAAGAGCCCGCATGCCACAACTAAGAGCCCACATGCCACAACAAAGATCCTGCGTACTGCAACTAAGACCTGGTGCAGCCAAATAATTAATATTAAAAAAAAAAGATGCTCAACATCAGTCATCATTAGGGAAATTCTAAACTAACCCACATGTCACTACACAACCCCTTGGATGGCTACAATTAAAAAGGCTGACAACCTCAAATGCTGGTAAGGATGTGGAAAAACTGGAACCTTCATACATTGCTGGTAGTAACGTCAAATTGTAAAGCCACTTTGGAAAATAGTTTGACAGTTTCTTATAAAGTTAAACATAAACTGAACATACAGCCCAATACTTTCACTCCTAGGTATTTACCCAAGAGAAGTTAAAACAGGTGTCCACAAAAAGACTTGTACAGGAATGCACATAGCAGCATTATTACAGGCAAAAACTGGAAACGTTCCAAACATCAATTGGTGTGTTGACTCTAATAACATAATAGCCAGTTGTTTCACCAGCAAAAGCAAGTTTATTCAGGAATAGCAGAGGAACTGTAATTCATGATGTGGAAACTACGGCAGACTACAAGTAAATCCAAAAAACAGGAAAAGGGAGTTTGCTTTTATAGGGAAAAGGGGTCAGTTGGGAGGTACTGTGTTAACCAGAGGCCGCTGGAGGAGCCTGGAGGCTTCCCATTGTTTGGGCTGTGACAGTCTCTGATTGGCTGGGATGTCCTTGGGCTGGAGGGATTTCTTCCTCCTGTTGGAGAGAGAGTAGAGGCACCTGTCTTCCTGTTTCTGGTAATTGCGGATGCACGGTGGGCATGACAGAACACCCTAACGACCTGTCCTGGCTCCATCTTCAACTGAGGTTTCTTTAAATAATTCCACTGTGAAAGGTTAAACAAAATGTCACGTATCCAGACAATGAACTACTATTCATATAAAGGAACAAACTACTGATATATACAACATGGATAAACTTCAAAAATATTATGCTAAGTGCAAGAAACCAGACAGAATAGGCTGCATATTGTATGTATTAGCACAATTACCACAAACTTAGTGGCTTAAAACAATGCACACTTATTATTTTACAGTTCTGGAACTCAGAAATCTGAAATGAGTCTTACGGGGCTTAAATCAAGGTGTCAGCAGAACTGCATTCCTTCTGGAGGCTCTAGGGGAGAATCGTTTCCTTGCCTGTTCTAGCTTCTGGAGGCTGCCTGCATTCCTTGGTTCATGGTCCCTTCCTCCATCTTCAAAGCCAGCAGTGTGGCAACTACCAGTTTCTCTATCTTATTCCCTTATCGCATTGCCTTCTCTGACTCATTTTGGCCTGTGGACTGTAGGCAGAAGTGCTGTAGATATCAGTTGTCGGCCAACGCAATTAATAGCTAGCAGGCCTCCATTAAACCCTTTTCCACTACCAATGACCTAGGAGGCCATGTGTTCCAGAGGTAAGTCAAGGAGAGCCACCTGACTCTCCCACCAGTCCATGCACAGTGAAAAACCTGCTTAAGACTTGAGGGTTGTTACTCCAACCTAGCCTAGCCTAGCCTAACTTTGGAGTGGGGAGCTTTAGTTTAAAAAAAAAAAAAGTAAAATATATATAGCGTGTCAGTTAAGTTATTGTCTCAGCTCCAAAGTCGCCCTTCCATGATCGGCTGTGTGATGCTGGGGGGTGGGGGTGGGGGGACTCTGCGGCCACATTTCGAGGAGCAAGGGCTGGTGCCTGGCTCTGCCAAGAGGAATGCTGGAGGCAGATGCGACGTCAAAGAGGGAGGGGCGCTTGCCCCCCCCCCCCAGCCACACTTCGCCGCCGCAGCAGAAAATAAAACAGCACAGGTGGCTCGAATTATGTGTGTTATACGCTGTGTCTGGTTTCGACAGACAGGTCTGGGACAGTGTGCAAGGCAGCCCAAGAGGGGGCCCGGAAATATCTGGAAGAGCGCTGGACGCAAGAGGCGAGGAGGGGACTGGCGCGGGCGGGTCTGCACGCACTGACGACCAGTCATTGGAAACAAAGATGCCCCAGTGGTCAGACACGAACCCCGGACGTGACAGCTCTCTGCAGGACCCCATACCCGGAGGCGACCCAAAGGAGAAAACTCGAGGGACTCCCAGAATCGCTGGAATCTGTGTGTGATAGTTGGTAGAATGGGAGCTCGTAACGACGAAATCCGGTTAGGAAAGCTGGCCGGGTAAGGTACCCGCCAGTCTCTACTTCGCCTGTCCTCACGGTGTCCCCGGGAACCGCGACCCCGCCTTAACCCGTCTTCCCCCGGGCTCACACGCCCCGCTGGAAGTCCCTCCTCCAGGCTTGGGGCCGCTCTGGCCCGCGCGGTCCCTTCTCTTTGGTGGGTTCCGCGCCGCTCCACCGCACGGCGGTCCTCCGGCCGCCAGGGGCGTGCGAGGCCGAGTCCGAGCCATTCTGGTCTGAGACGGCCGCTCGACTGCTCCGCGGAGCCGTCCGGGCGCGCCCAGGCCACCGCCTCCAGTCCGTTCCCCCGGCAACGCCTCGGGCCGTTCCCCCGGCAACGCGCGGCCGTTCTCAGTAGCAGGGGCCATGGACCAGGGGTCGGGCGCCGGGCCCCACCGGGATCGCGGCCGCCTCGGCGCGCCGTCCTGCGGAGCGCGGGCTCCGGGGGCACCCTGGGCACGCTTCTCGGCCTGGCTGGAGTGCGTGTGTGTGGTCACCTTCGACCTGGAGCTGGGCCAGGCGCTGGAGGTGAGGGGGGCAGCGGGCCGGGGGGAGGCCGGGGAGGGCGGGTCCTGCTCTGTCGCCGCCGGCTAGTGTGCCTCAGGCATCGCCGAGGGGCGGCGGGAATCCCTCCGCAGGTGAGGTACCCTCAGGCAGACAGACCCCCCAGGTGTTCTCTTCCTCCTCAGAAACCCTGCACCTGTCACTTCCTGAAAGGTGCGCTCCCAAGCAGAAGAAAAAAAGTTAAGTTGCCAAGACCGCCCTTTGGGGTGGAGGAGCGAAGAGCCCTGCACTTCGGATACCCAAAGTGGTACTCTTGATTTTTCTCCCAGTAAAAAGCTGTCTCCTCTCCCTTCCTCTCCCCCGCCTTTCCCACACTATGATACCTTCTCCCCTCATTTACTCCAGCCAAAATCCCAGGGGTCACCCTTGACTCCTCCCCTCCTTCCACCCCACATCCCATCCGGGAACAAGGCTGACAGCTCCACCTACTGCAGGGCTGTCAGGTTCATTACCACTGCTACTGTACCCCCAAGTCCAATATTTGTGGCTCTCTTGCTTAAATCTTTGGAAATCTCCTTGTTCACTTAGAGTCTGATCCAGACCCTTTGCGGGTCACAACCAGACCCAAGAGCCATCTTTCTGTTCACAGACTCTGCCCCCAGGCCCCCCCCAGCCTGGGGTGTCCCCACTACCTGCAAGGCTCTTCCCTACCCCCATCCGCGTGGGTGTAGATGAAAACATGACAGACTCAGGGATGAAGGCCTTCTGTAGTAATGCAGGCCTGGGGGGACAGTCTTCTCCAGGCCCTGAAGGCCATGACATAGACCATGGAGCTGACCAGGGCAGGGGAGGCTGTGAGGTACGCTTCAGCACGCTGTCAGAAGGAACTTTCTGAGAACCCAGGAGGTGGCGCATCCGTGACTGCAGTTGGCTGAGATGAGGCTGATCAGCCATCGTTGGAAAGCCAGCGTCAGGGGGAGAGGGTGTTTTCCAAGGCCTTGCTGAACTCCACGAGGCTGTGGGAAGCCCAAGTCGTAACAAACAGCAAAGGCTGACACTGCCCAGCTCGCTGTGGAGACCCCATTCCACCGCACCTGTCCCCACGCGGTGCACCAAATTAGCTTGATGCAGGGACCTGAGCACAGAGAGGTGAGGTGATTTGCCTGACGTCACAGAGCCCACATTCCTGCTGGTGCCCAAATTGTTCCCAGTAAAATCACAAGAGAGTCTACTGTTTACTTAAGGCATTCTCATGTATAATTTTCTAGGACTTAACCATTCAGGCAAGAACTGTTAAAGGCTCCATGTGCTTGGGCTTCTGAGCTTTGCTGAGGCTGTATAGCTCAGGGAGGGAGTGTTGGGATGACCCACGGCCCCTCCTAATCATCAAGTCTGTGCAGGAGTCAGGCAGTGCAACCACACACGCTCATCAGGTTTGCATCTTATCTTTCTTCCTCTCCCCTGGAAATCACAAGGAAGATCAGCGGTCATTTCAGCTGCGTCCACGATCACTCATGGAGCATCTGCCCTGCGCTCGCTTATTCCGGGCTTGGCCTGGCCGAGCACCACAGAGGCTCTGGCTGGCACTGTGCTTGGCACTGGGACATGATGGAAGACCCAGGGACTGCCTTCCAGGAGCTCATGGATCACGGAGACTCCGTGGACAGACGCAGCTCAGAGAAAGGAATGGGGGTTTGGCCATATCTTGGAGGATGAGAAGGAGGCAGCCGGGCAGGGGAGAGGGGGCTGTTTCAGGTAACCCCTCCCCCCAAAAAGCCAGCGAAAGCAAAGGCAAGGAGCCAACCATTCACTCATTCAATAAATCAAGTATTGGGCAACTGCCACCAGCCAGGCCCCACAGTACTGGTGCTGGACACATGGACACAGAGCTGAATGCGATGACAGGGCCCTGCCCACCAGGAGTTCACGTTCTGTGCTAGAGACGCAGAGAGTAAGGGGTTCAGGACCCCCTAGAGCGCATAGGGTATGTTGAGGGGGTCCCACCGACGTGGGTGCACTGGAGCCTGCAGGCGAGGCAGGGATCAGACATGAGGGGAGAGTGGGCAAGGCTGTGCACATCAGCTGAGCAAAGGGCCTGGCTCTGCTGCCTCAGCCCTTGGAAACTCTCCTCTTGGTATCCCCGCTGACCCAAGAAGCCCATGCAGTGAACCGCGGCCCGGGGCGCAGAGGGTCCCTCCTCCCCCAGGTGTCCACATCCTCCCAGCTGCAGCTCCTGCACTGCCCAGTCTCAGGGGCAGGATGCTCAGGACCCTTTTAGCCTTCAAAAGTACTGAGGGCCCCAAGGGGCTTTTTATGTGCGTCGTATCTATCAAGGTTTCCTATACTAGAAGTTAAAACAGAAAAATTAAAAATGCTTATTAATCCATTTTAAAAAACAACGGATACCATGTGTAAACGAGAGAAGCCACCGCAATGAGAAGCCTGTGCACTGCAACGAAGAGTAGCCCCCACTTGCCGCAACTAGAGAGAGCCCACGCACAGCAACAAAGACCCAACGCAGCCAAAAATAAATAAATAAATATTTATTACTTTAAAAATATATCTATTTCCACAAAAACAACCATTTTCAGAAACAAATTCAGTGAGGAGAATGGCATTATTTGACACTTTTACGTCCCTTTTTAAAGGCCAAATAGAAGGCAGCTGTATCTTCACGTCAGCTTCAGTCAGTTCCCCTTGATGGCCTGTGTCACAGCCTCTGGAAGCCACACTGCACACAGTGAGAAGAGAGTGAAAAAGGCAGCTTCGGCCTCTGGGAGCCTAGGGCACCCACACCACCCTTCAGGAAGCACTTTCCTAGACGTACCTTCTCCAGCAAGGCGAGGCTCGCTGCATCTGTCTTCCTCAGGGGCGACTGGGTTACAGGAGCTGCAGCCCCTGCAGACTGGCTCCCGTGGAAAGGACAAGACCCCTGTGGTTCCAGGGGACAGGGTTCATCGTGCGGCAGACTCTCGCCCTCTGCCCCTCTCTGAGGGTCCGCTCCATTCCTCTCCTCAGTCAGGCAGGGCCGTCCCTCCATCTCTGCTCCCAGCTTGTGAACAGTGAACTTGGAGCCCTGGGCATGGCTGTGGAGCCTGCTCAGATGCTACAAAACTCCTGTGACTGCAGACCAGATTCAGACCCCTGACCTCAGCTCCAGACCAGATTCAGACCCCTGACCTCAGCTCCAGACCAGGTTCAGACCCCTGACCTCAGCTCCGAGGGCCCATCGTGGCCCTGCCAGCTGCCAGGCACCCGCCTTTCCTCTGCCCTTCCCAACAAGGACACGCAGGGGCCCGAGTGGTCCTGCGGCCCCTCCTCTCTTGGAGCCATCTCAAAGTACCTCTGTGGGTCCGCCCCACAGACAAATACTGTTTGGCTGGCTCCCCTCCGTCCTCTTGGCCCTTCCTTCTTGGTGCCTCCTTAGCTGACATCTTGAGATTTCCACATGCCCCACCTGTTCCATTATTCTTTGGAGACATGTTTTCACGCACTCCACAAATACAGGCACACCTTGGAGATGTTGCAGGTTCGGTTCCAGAGCACTGCAGAAAAGCAAGTCACACAGATTTGCTGGTTTCCCAGCGCATATAAAAGTTATGGTTACGCTAGACTGGAGTCTATTAAGTATGCAAGAAACACCATTATATCTTAAAAAACAATGTAGATACCTTGTAACAAATATAAAAATGAAAAAGTTTGAGATGTTGTGAAAATTACGAGAATATGATGCAGAGATACAAAGTGAGCAAGTGTTGCTGGAAAAATGGCACCTGTAGGGTTGCTACAAACCTTTATTTTGTAAACAATGCAACATCCGTGAAGCACAATAAAGCAAATGTGATAAACGAGGTGTGACTGTACAGTATCTGGTGAGGGTCTACTCCCTGCCAGGGGCTGGGAAGTACCTGGGACACGGTCCCTGTCCTTAGGACACTTGGTGGCAGCGTAGGAGACAGAATAGGCCCAGAGCAGCAAGCCCAGAGCAAACAAAGACAGAAGCTACATTATTACAACAGTGCAAGTCCCAGGGCACAGTACCTTACCATCTGGGGGTTCAGGGCACACCCCAGAGGAAGCCTCATGTCAGCCAAAACCCAAGTCCTCCTCCGCATGGGAGTTTGGCCGACAGAGTAAGGAGGGGGCCACGCATGCAGGCCCTCAGCTCCCGGCTCCCGGCATAGCCGCTTCCTGGGAGAGCCGTCCTGCTGCACCTGAGCACGGGCCAGGGCAGCAGTGATGCCCAAGGCGCACCAGGTCCCCAGGAGACACTTGGGGGCCTGCAGGGAGTGAGGGCTCTGGAGGTTCCCTGCCTTTTTCGTTTCCTGCAAAGAAATCCATTCTGGCCATTTGCCTGTGTACAGGGCTACTGGCTCCCTTAGAGTGTGGCCTGTCTCCCAGGTAGAGCCTGTCCAGCTGGTCACGCTCACCATACACTCCAGGGGCCTGGGTGCTCCAGGGGTCACACTCCAAGCGGGGAGCAGGCCAGAAGCTCCCGGACCCCTGACTAGCAGGGGTTGGAGTGAAGATGCTCAGAGGCAGGGGTGCCAGTGTCAGGCAACATCTGAGTTAAGACGGGATGGGGAGGCTGGCCAGGCCGTCTGGGAGAGGAGGCCCAGAGGAGCCGCAGAGCCTAAGACCCTCTGGCTGGGTGGGGTTGGGTCTGGAGCGCTGAGAGGGTACAGGAGGTGGGGGCCAGGAGGCAGGGCCCTGCATCTGCTCTAGGCGAGAGAGGAGGCTATGGGGACAGACTGTCGGGACATGGGGCAGGGAGGCCCAGTCTGGGCGAGTGACCTTGAGGGCGAGGGGTGTGAGAAGGGAGTCCAGGAGCTCACCCAGTTGTGCGCTGGCCGAGAAAAGGGAAGGATGGGGGCCAGGAGTGGCCTCGGGCCGAGAGGGGCCTGGGGAGGCAGGGCAGGGCGCTGGAGCCCTGAAGAGAGGAGGAGGGGTCAGCAGGGAGCCAGAGGTGGGGGAGAGCCAGAGGGTCTGACAGTGCTGGGGTCGGGGGGACACACCTGCAGCCCAGCACCAAGCCTGCCAAGCCCATGTCACCGAGTACTCTGTGTCCCCCGCAGCTGGTGTACCCCAGCGACTTCCGGCTCACGGACAAGGAGGTGGGTCCCAGCGCGCTCAGGAGCAGACCTCACCTGGGGAGCAGGCCCTCACTGGCTTTCCTGTGTTTCAGAAAAGCAGCATTTGCTACCTGTCCTTTCCCGACTCCCACTCAGGTAGGCCACCCCGCCTCGCCCCGGTCTGGGTGTCTCTCTGGGGTCGTGGGGAGAAGAAGAAGGAGGGAGATGAGGCTGCCCAAGAGCCCCTGCGGCCAGGCCTGCACAGCCTGTAAGCACCGGTCCCCCTTCCCGCTCCAGGGAGACAGCCAGAGCCCCACGCCGCGGCAGCCGGTTTCCCCGGTTCCCGCGGAAAGAGGTGTCTCTAGGCAGTGGGGTCTGGTCTCCTTCACCCCAGCAGAGGGGTCACCAGGAGCTGGGTCCTGGCCTTGGCTCCTCTCCAGGGCTCAGGTGTCCGGGTCGGCCTGGTTTTCCGCCCCGGGCAGGCTACGCCGGACCACACAAGCCCCCGGCCTGTGCTTGCCCACAGTGCACGCGCTGTGGAGCTGTGGCTGTGCTTCTCTGTGTGCTGAGTTTAAACCCTTAGGTGCAGGAATCTAGACACGGGGACCTCTGTCGGGAGGCACAGAGCCGGAGGGCTGGGCTTTTCTGAGGCATTTGCAGCCCGGCAGGGGCTTCGCCCCCGCCCTGGCCCCCCGCCCCACATGCTGGCAGGAGAGGCTCCAGCCCAACCCGGACACAGCGTGAGGGGACCCTCTTCCCCAGGCTGCCTCGGGGATACTCAGTTCTGCTTCCGCATTCGTCAGTGTGGAGGGCAGAGGCGCCCCTGGCACACGGATGACAGGCACTGTGACAGTGGGGCCCCCGTGTCTCTGCAGGTGAGCCGGGCTGCCTCTCCAGCGCTCCTCCCCTGCCCCTGCAGGCCAGGGTCAGGCGGGTGTGAGCAGCCCTTCAAGACACCTGGCCAGCCCCAGCCAGCAGGGTCTCCAACTGCCGCAGGCCAGGCCCGGCACCCCAGCCTCGACTGGGGGTGGGCCAGCGCTTCTGAGGACTTGCCAGGGTCCCTGGGGCTTTTCCTGTGCTCCACGTGTGCGCCAGGGCGTGGCTCGGTGTGCAGAGGCCGGTGCTCTTGGGCCCCTGAACCGCTCACCACTGTGTCTGCGGAGATGTCCCTGGAGAGCGGTTGCCTGCCTTCCGGGCCGTGACTCCCAGGCAGACCCCGGTCTGGGGAGAGCACGCAGCAGCCTGCGTGGGGGTCCGAGGGGGCGGGTGGGAGGTGAGCAGTGGGCGTGGCCTGGCCGATACCCCTCCTTCCAGAGGGAGCCCGCACACTACTTTGGCTACGTGTACTTCAGGCAGGTGAAGGACAGCTCTGTGAAGAGGGGCTACTTCCAGAAGGTGAGCAGCTGGTTGCTCTGGGGTGGCCCCACTGAGAGTTGGGGGCCAGCAGCCATTGGGAGAGGCTGATGGTCTGGGGGGTGGGGGTCCTGAGCCTCCAGGAGCACCCACCCCTCCGCAGCCCTAGCCACTTGGCCCCGGGGGGGGGGGGCCACCGTGCCACTTGGGGGCGGGGGCGGCCTCTGGAGAACAGGCTCCGCTGCCCCTCCCTCGCCCAGCCCCGGCTCTAGCCCAGGCCTACCTGCTCCTCGCTGAGGGAGGAGGGGCGCCCTCGTCACACTTTCAAGATTAGGACGACTTCAGTCTAGAGTTCAGACACCAAAAGCAAAGGCTGCTTGAGCCCCAGGGAGACCATGCCATGATCCTGGCCACGTGCATTTCCCTCTGAAGGCCTGGGGTCCAGCCCTGCCCTGCTGCACCTGGGGTTTTCTAATAGCCTGGAGTCCCACGTCAGGCCATTCCTGGGAAGTCGGTGGGACACCCTGCCCTGGGCGACCCTGGATGAGCCGGGCCTCAGGGGTCCCTGCAGGGTCCCAAGGGGCTGGGGCGACATCTCACCGGCCCTGGGCCCTGCAGTCTCTGGTGCTGGTGTCCCGCCTGCCCTTCGTCCGGCTGTTCCAGGCGCTGCTGAGCCTGGTCGCCCCCGAGTACTTCGACAAGCTGGCGCCCTGCCTGGAAGCGGGTGAGTGGCCGGCAGGCGCTACCAGAGCTGCCTCGTCGTCATCCCAGCTGTAGCTCCTGGTGGCTCCGGCGGGCAGCTTCCTCCAGGACAGGCTTCTGACGCGGGCCACCTGTGTTCACAGTCTGCAATGAGATTGACCAGTGGCCGGCCCCTGTGCCGGGGCAGACCTTGAACCTGCCTGTCATGGGAGTCGTCCTCCAGGTGAGGGCTGGCTGGCTGGGGTGGGATGGCCCCAGTGCATGTCGACACGCCACCCGGCCCCATTGGCAGCTGCTTCCTTCATCCATAGGTGCACATCCCATCCAGCGCAGACAAGCCTGAATCCGGTCCTCCAAAGCAGTGCAGCCACAAGGTGGGCGCCCTGCTCCCAGGCTGACGGCCCCATACCAGCCTCAACCCTCAACCCTCCCACCTGGCTGGGCCTCCCCACCTCACCTGCTGGGGGGTGGCCAGACCCCAGACACAGAGGCCTCCGTATCCGTGCAGGGCTGTGGGGCGCCAGGAGGCACGTGGGTAGGGACTGCGGCCCCCGGGACTCTCCCGGGATGACCTGTGCTGCTCGGGGCTTGTGAGGCGCCATCCTCCCCCTGGCCTGACCCCACCCCCCCTTCCTCTCAGAACCTGCCGCCAGCCCCGGTCGTCCTCACCAGTGTCCATGAGCTGGACCTGTTCAGGTGAGCCTGGCAGGCCACCACCTGCTGCCCCGGTAGGTGATGAGTGATCCCACGGGGCTCAGCCCATCGGGGTGGGGGCACTGGGGGACATCAGGAGTTAACCCCCCGCCCATTCTGAGAGGGAGAGTCCGCAGAAGAGGAGCCCGGTGCCCCGATGTCTGCCCCCAGAGGAAGTGAGCACCGTGGGCAGGAAGTCAGGTCCTGGCAGGCAGGTGCAGGGAAGGGAGCAGCTGTGGTGGGAGATGCTGCCAGAGGGGCCCTCTCTGGGGGGCCAGCAGAGGACCCCACCTTTGGAGACCCTCTGGCCCTGTGCTGGGCCCAGCGGGAGCCAGGGCTGTCGGTTTCAGGCATGGCGGGGGCGCGAGGCCAGGCATCTTCACAAGGCCTCACGGCCGCCTTCCTCTGGAGTGAGGCCCAGCCTTCACCCAGACAGGGCCTGCCTGGGCCTGGGTCAGGGCAGGTGGGCAAGGGCTGGGGAGCCTCCCACCCGGCCTCCCCAACGCCCCCGCCGGCCCAGGTGCTTCCGGCCTGTGCTGGCCCACGTGCAGCTGCTGTGGGAGCTCATGCTTCTTGGGGAGCCCCTGCTGGTCCTGGCGCCCTCGCCCGCAGTGTCCTCGGAGATGGTGCTGGCCTTGACCAGGTGGGTCGGGCGGCAACGCGAGGGGCCGGGGGCCCCGGACCAGCCCAGCGAACTGACTGTCCCTGCGGCTCCCTCCCCACAGCTGCCTGCAGCCCCTCAAGTTCTGCTGCGACTACCGCCCCTACTTCACCGTCCACGATAGCGAGTTCAAGGAGTTCACAACACGCACGCAGGCCCCGTAAGTGCCGCCCTGCCCGCCCTGCGCCCTGCGCCCTCCGCCTGCGTCTGCCTCTCCTCCCTCCCTCCCTCTCTCTCTCTCTCTCTCTCTCTCTCTCTCTAGACCAAGCGTGGTCCTGGGAGTCACAAACCCTTTCTTTATCAAAACGCTCCAGCACTGGCCCCACGTCCTCCGCATCGGGGAGCCCAAGATGCCAGGTGAGGTCCCTGGCCTCCACCCAAGGGTCCTGGGAACGCGGGGCCTTGCCGGGTCTGAGCCTGCGGAGGCAGAACCAAGACCCTGAGGCCCGGCCATGGGGCGTGTCTCGTAGGGGACCTTCCCAAGCAGATCAAACTGAAAAAGCTCTCAAGGCTGAAGACCCTAGACACCAAGCCAGGTCTGTGCCCCTCCTCTCCTCCCGGTACCCAGAGACACACCTTGGGGCGGGGTGGGGCGGGCAGATGTGCTGGCACAGCTGAAGGGGGTGCCCCGCCCCCGAGGAGAGCGCGCTGCCATTCTGCCCTCCCCAGGCCTCTACACTGCGTACACGACCTACCTCCACCGAGACAAGGCCCTGCTCAGACGACTGCTTAAGGTACCGCTGGGGGATGCTCCAGGGGCGAGGAAGCTGGGCTCGGTGTGTGAAGGGGGCGCAGCCGGCCTGCTGTGGCTCAGCCCTCGCCCCCGCCCCCCAGGGCCTGCAGAAGAAGCGGCCGTCGGACGTGCAGACTGCAGTGCTGAGGCAGCACCTCCTGGAGCTCACGCAGAGCTTCATCATCCCTCTGGTGAGGCCTGGCCGGCAGGGAGGAGGGCGCCGGGCTGGAGGGGCAGGCAGCAGGCTGTGGCCCAGACTCAGACTCACTCCCCTTCCCCCCCAGGAGCACTACATGGCCAGCCTCATGCCCCTGCAGAAGAGCATCACGCCCTGGAAGGTGTGGTCCAGGGAGGGGCTGGGAGGATGGGCCCTATGCCGATCCTTTGTGGGGGGGTGTCTCGTGGGTGTGCAGGAGCCCCTGGGGCCAGCCCATCCCCACACCCGCAGGTGGCCCTCACAGGGAAGAGAAATGCGGGCCACACGGATGGGGGAGGGGCTCGAGGCCCTCTTCTCTGGGAAGGGTCACCCTGGGATCTGTCCCTGCAGGGTGGGGGCTGGGGGACACACAAGGGGTCCGTCTGCCAAGTGCCCTGGGGAAGGTCCTGACCAGCCAAGGTGCGGGGCCTGCGAGGCTGTGCCCCCCCCCCCCCCAGCACCCAGGCTCACCCAGCCCCTGTCTCAGACCCCTCCCCAGATCCACCCCTTCCGCCAGGACGACTTCCTGCGTAGCCTGGAGCGCTCAGGGCCCCAGCTCACCTGCCTCCTCAAGGGCGACTGGCTGGGCCTCTACAGGTGGGTGGACAGTAGGTAGGGTCCTGGGGCCCCTGCTGCTGGTGGCCATGCCCATCCCTCAACACACAGCGTCAGCCCACACCTGCTGCCCCTTGCCCCCCACAGGCGGTTTTTCAAGTCCCCCCATTTTGATGGCTGGTACCGACAGCGGCACAAAGAGATGGCCCAGAAGCTGGAGGCCCTGCACCTTGAGGCCATCTGTGAGGCGGTGAGGGGGGCGCTCGGCTGCGGGAGAGCACAGAGGGGTGCGAGCCCCGCACAGGGGCCGGAGGAGAGTGTAGGGGGGGCGGACACAGGCCCAGAGCTGGGCGAGGGCCTCGGCGATGGAAGGTCCCATCTTGTCCCCGCAGAACCTCGAGATCTGGATGCAGGACAAGTCCGAGGTGGAGATCGTGGATCTGGTCCTGAAACTTCGGGAGAGGCTGGTGAGATGCCTCCCAGCCGTGCCCCGCCTCGGCCAGCTAGATGTGAAGGTCGCCTGCCCCTGACCACCGCTGCCCCTGCAGGTTCGGGCACAGGGCCACCAGCTCCCCGTGAAGGAGGCGACGCTGAAGCGGGCGCGGCTGTACATCGAGACAGTCGTCGGCTCCCTGCCCAAGGACCTGCAGGTCGTCCTGTGCCCTCCCTAGGATGGGGCCCATGGCCCGGGGCCTGGCTGCCCCTCGAGGCCTGGGTCTGGCCGAGATTCCCTCCCCCAAGTCAAGCATGAGCTCCCCCACCCAAGCTTCCGGTTGCCCCTGGCCCCCCACCTGGCACCACCATCATCCCAGCAGACAAGGTGGCATTTGGAACTACAGCTTGGCCCCTGACTGTTGGCGGATCACGTGCTGGCAGAGCCTCCCCTCCCCCTGGGTCCCACCTGCCCTCTCCAGGGTCTTAGGCAGGGGTGGGGGGCAGGCTGTGAGCCCTGCTGATCTGCTCTGGGCCAAGGCCACACACCCCTCCAGGAGCCCATCTGCCCAAGCCCTGCAGGCCCAGGCGTTGCATCTGATGCGTCCTTTAGACCCACCAGGCTGCCCGGCTCAGGACGGAAGGAGGCGGCTGACAGGCAGACCCCTCTCCTCACACAGCCCGCCCCCCGCCTGTCTTGCCTGGGGGCTGAGGGGGGAACCTCGCCTGCGGTCATCACTTGGGAGGGGAGAAGCCGCTTTGCCCAGAGAAGAGCTATGCTCTGTGGTTCGCTGGGATGCCGCCAGGTCCCGCGTGGCTGCCAGGCGGGTCCAGGGCATTGTCTTTGTTCCACTCCAGGGACACCCCACTGGGTACCTTCTCCGTTCACTCTGCCCTGCGCTGCTGCTCGTCGGCTGGCAGGCCCTCGAGTCACCCCCGTGTCCATGCAGCCCCACAGGCAGTGAGAGGCTTGGACTCTAGCCTGACCAGGCCCGCGGCCTTGGGGCACCAAGCTCCTCGGCAAGGAGTGAAAGCCCCTCAGAAGGGATCCACGCCCCCATGTGACACCTTGGAGCACTGGGCCAAGCAGTCACGTGCTGTCATCGGCACCATCACAGCTCAGCGCACAGTGGCAGCTGGTGGGGAGCAGGGCGGGGTGGGGGGAGGCGCGGACCCAGAGCTGCAGGCCTTTGGGTAAGTCCCACCGAACCCAACCCCAGATGCCTCACCTGAGGCACAAGGCCTCGTAGATGCCCGCGTGGGCCTTGGCGGCAACCTGAGCTGAGTCCTGGCTGAGCGATGTGGTGCGGGAGGCAGGCCGAGCGGGGGGCTTTCCCTTCTCTCTTGATTCCCCACAGTCCGTGTCCTGGGATGGAGCAGTGACGCAGCCACTCCTCCCAAGCGGAGTTCGGTGGAGCTGCCAGATGACAGAGGCGCTGGCCTCAGAGCTGCCAGCGTCGTCTTGTCCGGCCCTGACCACTGCCTAGGACAGCCCGGCGCGTCCGCAGCCTGCAGACAGCTGAGCTCGGCCTGGTGTGCGACCGCAGTCAGAGGACAGAATCGAGGCAGCAGAGGGAGAGACAAGCTGGAGGCCCTCAAGTGAGGAAGGACTTTGTGGCCCCAGTGCCACTTTGGAAAGTCTGCCCTGCTGTCTGGCCGTGAGGGGTGGCCCACGGGCCGTGAGGGATGTGCCCCAACACATTGCACGGTCCCTTCCCTTGGCCTTCTGAGGGTGACTGCAGGTGATGGAGGGCTGCAGGGGAGCGGCTGCAAGGGGGCCGCCGCAAAGCCCTCAGGGACTTTTGCCTCCATCAACCCATGAAGGCACACCTGATTCCCCTGAATCCTTGCATGCTCCCTCGAGGACTCTGCTTGAGTCCACGCAGCAGCCCCTCACAGCGGCTTGTCCTCAGGAGCACTGGTGCAGCGGGATGTCGGGGGAGGGACGCCTGGCAGAGTGGGCAACACTGCCCAGGGTGGAATCCAAAGCTGAAGGGTACAGGTGGGAGGAGGTCCCTCCCCTGGAGTGCCTGGGGCTGTGGGGGGGGGCCTCCTCCTCACAGCCTGACCCCCCTGCCCAGACAGGGGCCTGAAGGTGCGGGCTGGGGGTGGAGTCCTGCCAACTCCATCGTCTCCCCCATAAGACCCCGGGTTCCCTCTCAGGATCAGGTCAGCTCCGGCTGGCCTGAGCCTCTGTCCCCCCACCAGGCTGGGGACAGGCAGTGAGGAGGGAGGAAGGGGCAGGAAGATCAAAAGAGGCAGACCCACCACCTACTAGAGCCCCGTGGACAGGAGGGCCTGGACGGACAGGAACCAGTGGTCCAAGAGGGCGCTGTGGTCGGCGGCCAGTATGTGAAGCCGCCTGCTTTTGGGGATTGTATGTGGGCCTGGTGTGGTGGCCGGGATGGGGGTGGGAGGGCAGTGGGCTGATCCAGGGACAGGAAGCACAGTCTTCACCCCCAAGCTTCCTGCACTCTATTTAAAGACTCCGTTTTAGTCTGCGATGGTGGACTTCCCACATCTTTGGTATTAAAATGTCCTTCTGTGACACGATACTTGTCTTTTAACTTCCTTTTCTGATAAAAAGTTGGCATCCCTATCAGAGCCTGGTAACTTTAGGGTCCTCTTGGTGGGGCGTTGGGTGGGCCTTGCTGTGGATGGGTTCAGGGCTAAAGGGGTGAAGGTGTGGCCTGGCTGGTTGGGGGAAGGGGGGTAGCAGAAAGAACTAGTGAGTTGACCCTCTCCGGTGGCTTCATCTGAGCGGGGCGTTCCTGAGCATCGGGGGCAGGTCCCAGGCCCGGGTTGGGTGGGGTGGGCAGGAACGAGTGGGCTATCTGCCGGGAACAGAACGTCTGGGTGGAGGGCAGGTGCCCAAGGAAGGGGGGTCCCAGTGTGGGAGTACAGGTTAGGGCTGGGGAATGGCCCCACACCCTCCCTGGGTCACCAGCTGCTGCTCAGCACGGCGGGGCTTGTGACTGCAGACCGTCCTGAGGGGAGCAGGACACCCAGGAGAGCTGGCCCCATAGGGGTCCCCAACTCTGCTCAAGTTGTGGTGGGAGTGGCCGGGGGCATCAGGACCAGGGTTGATGGGGGCTGGAGCGGCCAGAAGTGGGGCAAGCTCTAGTCCAGAGCTGGATGCCCCAGGGAGAGGCTCGGTCTCACCACCCACCTCCAAGCACTTCAGCAGGGGTTGACGGGTCCTGGGTGTGGGTGGAGGGAGGTGGAAGGGAGGCGGGGGAAGGAGGGCGCTGGAGGCCAAGGACGGGTTGCGAGGGGACTCAGGGCAGGCGTCCTCTTCCCCTTGGAAGTTGAGGGACAAGGCGCAGCAGCCCCCAACCGCCCAAAGGGTAGGGGTGTGGCCGGCATGTTCCCCAGTCGGAGGGTCGGGGTGCCGGGGACCTCGGTCTTGCAGGCGTTCTCCCCTAGAGCCCAGACTTGGGCTCCTCTGGCGCGAACCTGGACGCGAACCGGGCCGAACTTCCCCGGCGACGCGGCGCAGTCGTCCACTGCGGCCTCCAGGCGCCGGGGACGGGGGGGGGGGGGGGCGCGCGGGGGGCGCGCGGGGAGCGCTCCGCCAGGCGGGCCCCCCTTCTCTCCCTCCCCACCCCCGCTCTCCCCTCTCCCTCTCCCTCTCCTCCCCGTCTCCCTCTCCTCCCCCTTTCCCCCGCCGGGGGCGGGGCCGCTGCTCCCGCGCGCTCCGGCCCCTCCGCGGCCACACAAAGGCCCGTCTCCATGGCAGCCGCGCTGGCCTCAGCGCAGCGCCGATCGCGGCACGGGCGCCATCGAGCCTCAGCGGCAGACAAGCAGGTACGGGAATGGGGTACGGGGCCCGCGGGGCGGCCGCGCCAGTGGGGGGCTTCGCCGTCAGCGCCGCTTCGTCCTGGCCTGCGGCGATCGGGACGCGGGGACTCGGGCGGCTGCCGCCCGGCGGAGGAACACTCGGGCTTCGGCCGCCGTCCGTGCGTCCGGCCGGCCGGGGCCGGGCCCGGGCCGCTCCCGCCTCGCGCTCTTCCAGGTGGCGGGCGAGGCCCGCGGCGCCGAGGGCAGCGGGCCTGGCCCAGCAGAGGGTCCCTAGCCGGGCGCCGCGCCCTCTCCCGCCGCCCGCGTCCCTCCGGAGCCGCTCGGACCGCTTCTCGTTCCCGATCCTCCCTCCCTACTCATGCCCGCTGCCCCTCCAGCCACCGAGATCCGTGCACAGGGCGGGGATCGGCCCTGTTGTACAGGAGCTCCAGGCCCGCGCCCACCCAGCCTTGGTTCCTGGGGTGGCCGAGCCCCGGCTTTCCCCAGGGAGCTGGGCTCGCGGTCAGGCCTTGGCAGCCCCCAAACCCCTTGGGGACTTGTGAGGCGGGCATAAGCCAGGACCACCCTGGGAGCCCCTGGTCTGCACCTGGCCAGGCTGGAAGACGGGTGCAGGGCTCCCGGTTGGGACTAGGGGTGGCTTGGCAGCAGCACCAGCACCTGGCAAGTCCTGGTGGCCCTGGGCCTGCTTCACCACAGAGCCAGCACCCACAGTTCCCAGTGTTTGTTGGTGTGGTGTTTGGGTGGACACTCTGGGACCCAGGAAGTGAGTACAGGAAGTCTCTACTCACTGCCAGGACCCTGCCCCTCTATGTGCAGCCTCCTGGAGGAAGCCCTCCTAGATGGGCCCTTCCCACCCATCTGTGCTCAGGTTGCTTGGCAGATATGAGGGGGGTCCCTGAGCCCAAGAGCCTCAGAGCTTCCTGCCACTTCATTGGCCTCCTCTTCCTAGCAACTTGGAAAAGAAAGGAAGGGCTCTATCCGTGCCCTGGGCCTGTGGTGGGGGTCAAGACTAGGGGTGAAGCTTGACCCCCAAAGCCAGTGGAGTGTTCTGGAGCTCGGAGGGCTCTCCGTGCCTGTCCTGGGGAGCCCCTGTCATGTCTAACTGCAGCCCCTGTGTGCCACACACACACCCGGGCCGGGGCCCGTGGAGATGGGAGAGCACGGGCCCCAGGGGTGGGAGCTCTCAGCCTGACCCCGTTCGGGATGTTCCCCGGGCACAGAGGGGAGAGTCTGAGAGCTGGACAGCTGCCGGGGGTGTGTGTGTGGGGGAGGCGTTCTTCTGCTCTGAGGTGAGGGTCCTGGGAGGGTAGGGTCAGCATCGGCCTGGCTGAGCCTGTTGGGTGTTTTTTTATGGCGTGTCAGCTTTTAGGAATCCCCAGAGAAGACTGAGGAAGAGCAGGTGGTCTCGGCAGATCTGGGCCTGTCACCTTTTCCCCCCCGTACCTATAGGGGGCCCACCTCCGTCTGCCGGGTAGGGGGAGGCTTGAGGTCTGGCCAGGGGCTCCTTGCCCCAGGAGGGGAGGGAAGTTACAGAGAAAAACAAGGGTTTGGAATGCAAGTCCCCCCTCCCCCGCCGGCCGCCTGCCAAGAAGGAATTATTTTGGATTATCCAGCCGTGTCCAGTCACCCAAGGGGGGCGGGGAGGCTAGAGCTGGGGGAGGCTACAGCCGTGGGAGAGAGATCCACTTCCGGGGCCGTGGGTTGAGAGCCCCAGAAGGGAGGGACGGGCAAGTCTGGGCAGCTCCGCCACCTCCCATGGCTGCTCAGACCGGTCAGGGGTGGGGTGGGAGGGGATGCGTCACCCTTGAGATGGAGAACGCCCAAGGTCGGCCCTAGCAGGCCCCGCCCAGTGAGCCTGGCGTGGGCCCAGGCCCCCTGGGGGAGGCCGTGGGGCCGGAGGAGTCCTAGACTCCTTTCTCGGCACCCAGGGTGTCCTGTGTGGCTGCCCTCCGGCCCTGGGTTCAGGGACACACCTTGGGCTGGTTACTGACACCTGTGTGGCGCTTCCCTGGGGTGGCGGGTCAGGTAGGGCCGTGACTTAGGCTGCTTAGCGTGGTGGGGCACTGGGGTCTCCCTTGGGCCGAATCTCTGGCCGTTCTCCTGCCTCTTGACTGACTCACTAACCAGCAGCTGACGGATGCACCACTTCCCTCCAAGCCCCTCGGACAGCCCAGCTCCCACCCCCACGTCCCCACCCCACAGGTGAAGGATCCCATAGGGGAGGGGTCCCACAGGTGAGGAGCCCAAGGCCAGACATGCAAGGAGCCGACTGGGATGCTGCCTCTGCCGCTTGGGCTCCCAAGGTCCGTGTAGGCGTGTGTGCAGCCACCCACCCAGTGGCCCCTGTAGGGACCACGCTGTGAGGCAGAGCTGGCAGCTGGGGCAGCGTGCAGTAAACCCAGGGGCCTGGCCTCAGCCCAGGTGAGTGGAGCAGAAGAGATTGGACTGGAAGGCACTGGGGTGGGCCGGCAGCCTAGGGAGGGGTCCATATGGCATGTGCCTGTCTCCCCCAGGACAGCTTGGTTGCGGGCACTTGAGCCGTCTCAGGACCTGGGCCATTCTGGGAACCTCCTGTTCCCTGCCTTGAACCCGCATCCTGGGGGCCGGAGCTGGTGAAGCCCTGGGACCAGGGGAGTGAACTGGTGGGGACAGGCTGTGGCTTCAGTGCTCTCCCACACGGCCCCTCCTCCGGTCTGGGCAGGTCCGCGCTGAGGCGCCAGGTCCTCTGGTCCTCCTTCTGTGTCCTTCTTACTCCCGTCAGGCCTCAGTCCTTTCTGCTGCAGCAACAGACACCAGCCTCCTGCCTTGGCTTCCTGGGTGGGGGGAATAAGCTTTTCTTCCCTGCTGAAGAGCCTCTTGGGCCCAGAGCCTGCCCTGGACCAGGGTGTCGGGAAAGCAGTCAGGGGAGGAGGTGAGCGATCAGACCTGCCAGAACTCAACCCAGGCTGGTCTCCCAGCTGAGCTGGATACAGGTTCACTGGGGGCCAGTCCCTAGTTGGCAGTGGGGGCTGGGCAGAGTCCCTCCCCCTGAGGCTAATGGCTATGTGTGTTTGGGGTGGGGTGGGGTGGGTGGGGCCTCTACATGTCTTTGGTCTCAAATTACGGGCTGGATCGGTGGTTGGTAGCCTGTAATTGGTGGGGGGCACTGGGGTGCATGGGGGCTGGGGGAAGCACTGTTGCTTCCCTTTTTCTCTCCAGGCCACATGTGGTCCCTTCATGGTTTTCCCTTCTGTGATTTCACATCCTCTGATGGGCTCCTGCTTCCCTCTGCCCCTGGGGCTTTGAGGACCTCGTTCCCTCTGCTGACCAGGCAAGAACCCTGCCCTTTCCTGGGCCCCCCGAGCCAGACCGGGGCACAGCTGCTCCCAGCCCTTCCCTCCCATCCGTCGGGGCTTCTGAAGGGCGGGGCAGGGCCTCTGCTGTCCTGCCCCCAGTGCCTACCCCTGAGCCTGTGACAGTGACTGGACCCAGAAGCCCAGACGGAGCCCGGGGTGGCCAGGGGCACACCTGTCGGTCTGCCCCTCCAGTCACAGGGAGGAGCCCAGGGCTGGCCCCCCCACCTGGAGCTGGGGTCCTGTTTCCCACCCTTTGTCACCCTTTGGTCCCCCATCTGCAGCTCAGCGCCCCCTTCACATGGAGAGTGTCTCCCCCAGCACTGCTCCCACCGTGGCTGGCAGCTTTCCACCCTGTGGGCTGGCCACTGGCCCACCCGAGTGCCTGGTTCCCCTGTGCGCTAGGCAGAGGAGGTGCTCTCCTGGGCTGGGGATGGGGCATCTGGGAAGAGGGCTCAACTTGGTGCCTCCGTCCTCAGCCCTGTCCTCAGCCCCTAAGATCACGTGATTTCTGAAACCTGGCAGTTCTCCATCCTGGTGCCAGATGAGTCCTGGCCTGGGGACCGTGGGAGCAAAAGTGCAGCCTTTGGGTGCAGCCTGGATTCTGACCCCAGTGCTGGCGTCAGCCCTGCCCTGCACTCGGCCCTTCCGGATGTGGAGACCAGAGCCCTCGGTGCAGTTGGCCGGCAGTTCCCATGGGGGGTTCTGGGAGGAGGGGCACCGTGTCGAGCTCAGATCTCCAGCTCAGATCTCTGTGACACAGCCCCCGCTGGACCCCCTCCTCAGGAAGAGCAAGAAAGGAAAAAGGTTTGATGTCAGCCTTGCAGAAGGCCACCTGTATGAACAGAGTCAGGGCAGGGGCGTCTGCTCCCAAGGCAGGGACACTTCCGGCTGCTGGCCTTCTGCTCCGATCTGGGCCCCCTGAGCCAGCATGCCACCTGTGCAGGCCATGGGCCCTGTGCTGATGTGGACTTCTCTGGGGGGCGCCGTCAGCTCCCCTCCAGGCACCCTGCCCGGCGCCAAGCTGGTGGCTGAAGGCTGAGGCGGCTCCAGGGCTCCTCGGCCACAGCCAGACGTGCAGCATGGGTGACAGTGGGAAGAGGGTGACTGGCTTGGTGCCCACCTGGGTCCTTGAGTGCTGGAGGGAGGGGTGCTGAAGGGGTCTGGGGACAGCCCTGATAGGTTAGGGAGCATGGGTCTGTCTTGGGGTACAAGGGGGCCTGTGGCACGAGCGGCAGGATTGGGGTGGCCAGGGGGTGTGGACCCGGCCATGGGAGGTGTGGGCTCTGGGCCTGAATGTGGCTTCTAGCCCCCAGCCCCAGCCCAGGGCATCCTCAGAGCGGGGGGGGCCTACTTTGGAGGAGGGCCAGGGCCCAGGACACTGCCGTGGTGAGGCTGCTGCCCTCCCCAGGGAAGGTGGCTGCTGTCCCACTTGCACCCAGTGGTAGGACCAGAGCTGGGTGAGTTGGTGGGGCTGAGGGCAGGTGGTGGGAAGGAGAGGCCCCAGCGCAGCCCACCTGCTCCCTCTCAGCCTTGGAGTTGCTCCCCCAGACGGGCCGGGGGACGTGAGGGGCAGGAGACCCAGCCACGCTTCCTGCAGGTGGCCCCTGGCCCTACCCCTGTGTGTGACAGCTCCTCGCTGAACTGAGTGAGCCGCTGAGGGGGTGGGTGCTGGGCCTGGCCCAAGGGGCCTGTGGGCTACTTCCTGGGTGTGTGGTCCCAGGGAGGCCGGGTGCCCGCCTCCCCCCATGCAGTCCCGGCCACCTCGCTGCCCCCTGACCCCTGCACCATTGTCCCATTCACCACTCTGCCTTCCCTTGAGCTGGGGTATTTCCTCGCTGGAAACTCCCGGTCCCTCTGCCCTTCCAAAGCCTAACCCTAACCCGGACCACCACCCCACCCTGAGCCTGGACTCCAGACCCTACCTAGCCCCCCAAGCACCCTGCACCTCACCAGGGCCCGACCCCATCTGGACAGAGACCGGGCCAGCGGCCTGGAGCCGTCCCCCCTCGCAGATGGCCCTGGCCCACCTTTCCCACACAGGTCCCTCAAGGCCAGCTCCAGGCCTGCCCAGCTCCTCCAGGCCCCTCGGCCCTTCTGGGTGTGCTGGGTGGACGCAGTGCTGGGGCTGCCCGAGGCTCACCCAGCCCAGGTGCTCGGGTCTGGGGCAGACGTGTGTGCCTGCACATGTGTGCTCACGTGTGTGTGAGTGGTGGCTGGCATGCCAGCTGGGCACAGCGCCTTAGGCTAATTGTGGGGTTCGGCTGTGATGGAGGAGGGGGCTCGGGGTGACCGCTGAGGCGCTGACAGACTGACTGGGAGATTACAGGTCTGGCCGGCTCCTTGCTCGCTCGGGCCCTCACCCGTCCGTCCCCATGTCCCACTCCTGCCTCTTGCGCACGGCCTGGGAAAGGAAGGGGGCTCCGGGCGGGCAGCATCCAGCCAGCTGTGGGAGGTGAGCCTGGAAAGGGGAGGTGAGTGCGGGCAGCGCAGCGGTTGGCGCTGGCAGGTGGGGGCAGACCTCAGAACCAGTGGCTCCTGCCTGCGTGGAGCCCGATGTCCCCAGTCTCCCGGCTGGGACTGCGGAACGGGGGCGCAGCTCCTCATCCAGGAGCCCCTCCAGTGCTTGGGCGGCTGGGCAGCTCCCGTTGGCCTCATCTGTGCTCCCGATGCCCTGCAGTGCCCGCCCTCTCTCAGCCGGCCCCAGCCCACATCTGGCTTCTCCCAGTATCTCACCCCGTCTTCCTGTCCCTCTCAGCCTGACCCTGACAGGCTGTCCACTGGAGAGGTGGTCTCTGGAGGATGTCCACACTTGCCTGAGTGCCAGCCCCATTCATCTGTTCACCGGGTGTTGACTGTGGCCGCTGTGTGCCAGGGCCGACAAGCTGCTGGGAGCTCCACGGGGGCTCCCGGACCCTGGAGGGTAGAGACCTGTCCCTCTGTCCCCAGCACACAGCACCGTCGTGTGGCACACAGGAAGCGCTTGGGGGCTTCGGGCTGAGCAGATGGGGCAGGTCAGCGGGCCCATTTGGGGGGTCCCCACGAGCATGGGGAAGTCGATGGAGGCGTTAAGCTGCAGGGTGTTCTGACGGGAAGGACTGCTCTGCAGAGGAGGGACATGGACGAGCCTGGGGGGGAATCAGAAATGGGGCCCAAACCGAGTCCAGGTGGGACACAATGGTGGCTGGGATTAAGGGGGCGGCCAGGAGGAGAGGTGGGTCTTGCATCATGGTGGGGCGTCTGGGCACCAGAACCTACTGAATCCCACCTTGTGTCCTGAGGGTCTGGGAGGCCCAGGAGGCTGCTGGCAGCGCCCAGGCAGGTATTCTTGAAGGACAGTAATCGACTGAAACCAAGTCGTCCTAAGCCGCCTCTCCACGAGGTTAGGCACTGCATGGTGAGGCAGTGACTGGGACCGGAGAGGGGCCCGACTGCCAACAGCGTGGAGATCCCAGTCTGGGTCAGCGCCCACACGGCAGGGTCTGCAGTCATAGGCGCGTGGGCGGCTGCGGCACACACCCTAGGGCTTTGCCGGGTGAGCCCCTGAGATGCCTGAGGGTGAGGGCTGGATGCAGAGACACTGGTCACGGTGACCTCGGGTATCAGACGGAGGGGCTGAGAGGCGGCCTGAGAGCACAGGGCGGGAAGGAGTGGGAGGCTATGGACTTGGCTAGGGGGAGGCCCATGGGGTCGGGGGAGCAGGCCCGGAGACCCCAAAGGCAGGTGGCGGAGAAAGCCCTGGGGTTGGTTTCTCTGCGCCCACTCCCCCTTGGCCTGGGGTCCTGGGCCTTTGACCTTCTCGCGGCCACCAGGCAGGGGTGATTTTCATGCCGGGGCCCGGAGCCCAGGCTGCAGGAGGAGGCTCATTAGCCTCCCCAGCCCCGGCGGGGATGGGCAGTCTGGCCCACGGCCTCTGCCAGTTGACGGAGGAACCGGGCTGTGAGCCGGGCTGGTGGGGAGGTGACACCGTATACACCTGGGAGGGGTCCTGTGGGAGGCTCTCCCAGCGCTGACGCAAGGCTCAGGCTAGACGTCAGGCTGTCCCTAGAGCCCGGCCCCGCCCGCGCCTGCTCCTAGGTGGCTGTGCGGGGAGCTCGGCCTTTGCCCGGTGAGTCTGGCAGGATAGGGGTTGGGAGCCATGCCGGCTGCGGCTGGGGCCTCCGCGGATCACTGGCCGACCGCGGAGCAGGGGTAATGGCCACCGCGCCCTTCCCGGCCAGAGGACAGCCTGACGCCCTGCGAGGCTCCTTGGGGACGGGTCCCTGGGCCCACGTGGCCGCCGCCGCCGCCGCCGCCGTCACGGCGACCGGAGGTCAGGCTCCCGCCGACCGTGCGCCCTGGGTCCCCTGGGAGGCTCCTCAGAGGCCCACTTGTTCCCCCCGGGGCCGCGGGGTGGGGGCGGGGCTTCCGAGGGGTCGTCCCCCGGGGCCGCGCCGCCACCTGGTCGCCTGGGGTTACGAGGCCAGGCCGGCCCTCCCCGTCTGGGGACCGCCCCACCTCCCGGGCTGAACTCAGACCCGGGGCCCCAGAAGGGCGCGGTAGGACCACGGGGCTCCCTCTCGCCCTGGCCCGGGGGCCCCGACGCTCCCCCCGGCCCCCTTCGCGCCCCTCCCTCGCACTTGTTTTGAAAACGGCGGAGGCTCGGATTTGCCGGCGTCTCGCCTGTTTAGTTTTCTCTGATTTGTTTCGCGCTCCCGGCTAATTGCAGATTTGCATTTTCGCCTCGAGAACGCAGCAGAGGCCGGTCCCCTGCAGCCAGCTGCCGGGCGGGGGAGGGGCGGCGCCCGAGGCGGGACAGTCACCCTCGCCGCATCCTGGCCTGGCCCCGGGGCGACGCGGCCCCCACCCTGTCCGCCGGGTGTAGGTTACTCCACCCCCGCGTTGGGGGTCCGTAGTGCCCTCCACAAGGTGCTAAGACTCCCCCCACCCCCATGTCAGGGTGTCCCTGCCTTGGACTCGAGCCTTAGCCTGAATCGTGGGTTTCTACGTGTCTGCCTCTGGGTCCCCTTCCCGAGCCCACAGGCTGCCAGGGGCCTCCACAGCCCTGGCTGCTGTGCACTGCTTTGCCTTCAGCTTTAAGGAGTTGCTCAATCTGTGTTTGCCTGACCCTAGCGACAGGGAGGTCTAGCCGGCACCCCAGGGCCCTCCTCCCGGGGGGGGGCCAAGACCGGAGGGGGAACCCTGACAGCCCTGGCCTGGCCTGAGGACCCTGCCCTTCCCCAGTGGGCGCCTCCTGTTTACCTTTTCCGGGTGTGTGGGGCAGCTACTGCTTATAAGAAAGGAACCCGAGGAGGGGGAGCCTCAGGGGACCCAGTGGCCGAGGCGCCTTCCCATTGCTTCCCACTCCCGTGGACGTGCGAGGAGAGGCCTGGGCCGCCCGCAGCCCGGGGCCCGTCAGCGCCCTGGCTGTGGGAGGACAGACCACTGTGTGCGTGAGGCCGAGGGGCCAGCTGTAGGGGCACATGTGCTTTCAGCTTCCTCTGCTGTGTGTCACCCCCTTGCCGGTTCACTGGGCTGAGACCCACCTAGGGCCTCAGATCCTGTGTTCAGACCTTGCTCACCAGTGAAGACCACAGACCACAGCGGAGGAGTGACGGTCCTGCAGGGCCAGGTCAGGATGGGTGTCTCAGGCTTCTGACGGATGGGCAGGAGTTTCCCAGGGGGAACAGCAAAAGCAGAGACATGGCGACATCATGGCGTCACCCTGAGTTCCTCCTCCACTGAGAGGACAACCGAAGGATTTCTGCACACGGATTCACTTACACCTCGCGGCAGCCCACTTGGGTTGGTGCTGTTATTACCCCCCATGTCACACCCGGGAAACTGAGGCACAGTGTAAGTTTGTAAAGAGCCCAGATAAGCCAGGTAGAAAGAGACCTGGGGTTTGAACCCAATAATATGGCTCCAGAGCGCAGCCCTTGAGGCCCCTCTGGGCAGCAGCATTGGGTGTGTGATTGTGGGGTGGGGGGACACCCATGGCCTCAGGGGCCTGTGGGTGTTCAGGAGAGTGGCCTTCATCTGAGATAGAAGGAATGACCCTCCAGAGCAGAGGCAGGATGGACACGCTGGGGGCCAGGACAGGGTGGTTGAGGCCGGGTTAGGAAAGGGGAAGGGGAGGGGATCAAGCTTCTTTCTGGAGGAAGTGCTGGCTGGAGGAGCCCGATGTTGGGAGGAGAAATTGGAGGGTCTGAGAGGTGGGTCCACCCTAGTGGGTCACTTGGGGCAGGTCTGTCGAGGGGTGAGGTGGTGGCTGTGGAGGCTGGATGTGTGGCCTCATGAAGAGGGTGTCCCTTGGAAGAGGCTAGCCTCCCTTGGCGACACCTGCAGCTCACACACCCCCGGCCAGGGAGGGGCCTGGGCCAGTGGAGGGCGGTGCACAGGGCACACGGAGGCCAGAGTGATGTCCCTTCAGGGTGGCAGGTCTGCATGCTCTGTGCCCTCGTGTGCTGTGGACCCCGAGCTCAGCCTCCACCTGGACTGGATGCAGCCTCGAGGCCAGGCCTGGTCCAGATTTCTCATGCGGCTCCATCATCCTGACACCCTGTGGTTTGGCCATTGAGTTTGCCCCTTTCACAAAGGCTGTGTTGTCGAGTGCCTAGGGCAAAACACACCCCTCACCCTCACACCTGGAGCCCTGAGCCCCTCTTCCTGGGTTAACCCGCCACTGCTCAGCCAGGGGCTGAGGGCACCAGAGGGATTTCCTGCCTGTGTGCGCAAGTGTGGCACCCACCTCCCCGCAGGCCTTGCCCCTGCTGGTCTCCTTTGGACTGGCCGTGGGTCCTCCCAGGCCTGGGCCCTACTCGCAATGTCGTTCCCCACGTTGGGGGAGTGCCTGGGGGGGTACGGGGGGAGCAGGGCCTGACGCTGCTGGAGGAGGTGTTGGGGGAACGCTGCTGGGGAGGGCAGCCAGGCAGGGAGCCAGTGGGCCATGGCCGAGGAGACCTGGGGAGGAGACCTGGGATAGGCCCGGAGAGATGGCTGGGGTGTGGTCACTGAGCGCCTGGCAAGCCGTGTCCTGAGGCAGAGTGGGGCTGGAGGGGGTCTGATTATTATTATTACACAGACCTCTTTTTATTTAGACAAGTAGTATGTAAATATATCCTTCTCAAATTTTTTTCCAAAACTGGCAAATGAAGTTGCTTTGCTGTCTCAGCCCCCTCCTCCCTACCCCCCCACCCCCACCGGCTTCACCTTGACTTTCAATTTGGATGAAGGCTTCTAGAACTTCTCAGTTAAACCATGTGTGTCTGAATCGACACCCACGTGTGGTGATACCTGGAGTTCTGCTCCACAGCCGTCCCCAACAGGTCTGGGCTCCGTTGGGTCAGCATGGCCCACCCACCTTCATCAGCACCATGGTTTTTCAGGGTCCTCTGGTTGCATGCTGGGTGGTTGCCAAATTTTCACTATAATGAACCGTGCTGAGAAGTATCCTTGGACTAGTCCTCCCTGTGGGTACACATGGGTGTTTATCCAGGAGAGGATACAATAGCAAGCGTTGCTGTGTGCTACAGTGTAACAGGCTCTCCGGAGGCTTTTCGGGCCGGAATAATTTAGTTCTTACAAGCCCCTGGGGGAGCTCACTATGACTGTCTCCACTTCACAGATGGGGAAATGAGGCTCAGAGAAGTTAAATAATTTGCCCAAGGTCACACAGCTAGTAAGTAGAATTGCGGGCTCGTGTGTATGCATGTTCTTCAGAAAGCAAGTTTAATTTTAACGCCCTGGTTTAATAAGCAGACAGTACCAAGAGACTTAACGAGAAGCTGTTCCTTGCCCTTTTCTTCCGCTTTTTTTTCTTCCTTTTTTTTTTTCTTCCTCCTGTTCAGCACAGCTTGCAGAATCTTAGTTCCCCGACCAAGAATTGAACCCAGGCCCTCGGCAGTGAAAGTGCAGAGTCCTAACCACTGGACCCCCAGGGAATTCCCTCTGCCTTTTTTGAGCAGAGGCAAGAAGGGCGGTGTCAGGCATACACACCAAGTGGGCATGTGTGCACTGGGGTGCTGGGCTAGGGGCTGGGAGGCCAGTGTCTGAGGGGGGACGTGAGGGCCGGGTGGAGGAGGCTGGAGTTGGGGTTCTCCTGCTCCAGGATGGCAGAGGCCAGCTGGGGTCCCACGGGCTGCTCCTCGCCCCCCCAGATGTGGAGCAGAGGAGAGACGAGGAGGTAGGGGCCAGGCTTGTGGTGAGGCCACTGTCTCTCCTTTGCTTCCTAGAGGATCTCCATGCTGGCCTGGAGCAGAGACTGAGCTGGACTACGGGAGCCTGGGTGAGTGACGGCTGGGCACCACCTGGGGAAGGCAGGGGGGCCACAGCCACGCAGTGAAGGCGTCTGGTGTCCCTGAGGCTCTGGTCTGGTCGGGCCCGGTGTGCAAACGTCTGCCCGAACCCAGGTGCCCTAGCTGTGGGGGCCGCTGCCAGGCCCCCCAGTTCTCTGATGGGGGGCCAGGATTTGCTTGGGAGGGGTGGGCGCTGCTGCGAGACTGGGGCGGTGTGTTTGGGCGCTGACTGCAGTGCTGGAATCTGGAACGTTAGGGCTGGGAATTTGGGCTGGGGGAGGGGCGCCTGGCCAGACGCCTTCCTGGCCAGCAGCAGGCTGGAGTCTGTGCGACGTCTTGGAAGTGCACCTCCGGGCTTCGGCCAGGAAGAGGCGTCTGATGCCCCTGAGGAAATCCCCGCTGGCCCGGTGAGCAAGCGGGGGGTCCCAGGCTGCCTTCAAAACAGGAAGCGCCCGTTCCAGGAACGCCAGCCGCAGGAAGCTCTGCCGGCTGTGCCCGGCACCTCCCGCAAGGCCGGCCTGAGCGCTGCCTCTGGTCAGGTGGTTCACCCTTTGCTCCCGTGGGCCTGGCCAGGCAGGTCACCTGAGGCTTTGTTTGTCCCGGAAGTGGAGGGAGCTGAGGCCTATCATTGTCACCCAAGTCCCTCCTGCCAGACTGTGTGACCTGGGCTCAGCGTGAGGGGCCCTTGGAACCCTTGGACTTGAGGCTCACTCTGCCCACCACCCAGAGGGGTCCTGGGCCAGGGAGCCCAGGTCTGGCCCTGGCCTGCTTGAGGGGGGGTGGGGCGGGGGCAGCAGCACAGTATCTGGGCCAGTGTTACTGTCAGCAGCAAGACCTGGTCCCACTCCGTGACCACACACATGGCTTTCATGGAGCACTTCTGGTGTGCCAGCCCTGGGGGCCCCTGGGGCCAAGGACAGGGCTGGGCTTCTGACCCAGGGGCTCAGTCAAGTGGACATCAACCAGAGGGAGGCCAGAGCATTCTTTTTTTTTTTTTTTTTTTTTGCGGTACGCGGGCCTCTCACTGCTGTGGCCTCTCCCGTTGCGGAGCACAGGCTCCGGACGCGCAGGCTCAGCGGCCATGGCTCACGGGCCCAGCCGCTCCGCAGCATGTGGGGATCCTCCCGGACCGGGGCACGAACCCGCGTCCCCTGCATCGGCAGGTGGACTCTCAACCACTGCGCCACCAGGGAAGCCCCAGAGCATTCTTTTTTATGCACTGTGACCCTTCCATCTCCTGGGTCCTGTCACGTCTGTGAGCTACCAGGACTGAGGCAGGGCTCTGGGTCACAGCAGAGCTCTTTCAGAAGCGGGGGGGGGGGGGGGGCGGGAGTTTCCCCGCTTGGTCTGTTCTGGGTTCAAGTCCTAGGCGCGCTGCCGGCCGGCAGAGGGGCCTGGACACGGGTCCATCGGGGACCAGGGGGTCTGCTTCCATGGGTGGCCTGGGCTCGGGCGGCTCCAGCTCCGGCCGCGGCTCCGCCCCCGCCCGTCCGTCCGCACCCGCAGGTCCGCCCCCGCCCGCCCGCTCCCTCCCTGGGCTCCGGAAACATTCCATTCATTCCCCGCTTGCCGCGGCGGCCCGTGGCTGCAGCCGCAGCCGCCGCCAAAGCCGAGCGGGACCAGAGTCGCGGCGGGGACTCGGGTGAGCGGGGCCGGGGCGGGGGTGGGTAGGGCCAGCCTGGGCTCGAGGCCGAGGGGCCTGGACGCCCCCCGCCTCCGCGGCGCCGGGGAGCGGACTTTGCGCCGCGGCGGGCGAGCCAGCGAGCGCGGGAGCGGGGCGGCAGGGAAGCTGGGGCGGCGGGGGAGGGGCGGCGGGGGGCGGGGCCCTGCAGCCTTGCCCTTCCCCGCCCCCGCTCCCCGGGCCCTGAGCGAAGGTACCAGAGGGTGCCTGAGCGCCCGGGGCCTCTCCTGGTGCGCCTGGTTCTGTGCAGTCCTGGCGTCGCGGGCGTCCCGGCTCCAGCCTGGGGATTTTCTGAACTGCGCCCTCCTCTCCCCTAGACGGCCTCAGTTGCCCGCGGAGCCGAGCGGAGTCTGCGGTGGCAGAGGCCCGCCTCCGCTCAGGATCTGCACAGTCTGCGCGCGGTCCTGTGAACTCTTCCTGTCTTTGACCAAAGGCGCCATCTCCTCCCCGACCTGATCACCTCGTCTTGGTGCGGCCTGGGGTCACCCTGTCTCCTCATCCCACCGCCTTCTCTTAGGCCATTTTCACCTCCTTCCCAGGTCCCTGCTGTCTCCTGGACACTGTCAAGCCAGCAGCGCGTGAGGAGGCCTGTGGGGTCCCCAGGGGCCCGGCAGGAACTGAGCACTCCAGAGCAAGGGGCTTCAGTGCACAGCTGAGGGGCACCTTCCCCCGCCCTGAGACTTGCCCCTGTCAATGCCCGGTGGTGATTCTGGGGTGCAGAGGGCTTTGTCACTTGGTTGCTTCTTGGTTATGCTTCTTCCTCCAGGGGCTTGAGGAATGTTGTGGAGACTCAGAACAGAGGGATGCAGTGGGGGATAGAGAACAGCCACAGCCTGGCCGGGGGGCTTCCTAGTGGCTCAGGCAAAGAAGGAAGCTGGCTTGATGTGAGAATCACAGGGTCCATCCTATTCCAGTCAGCACAACTTTGCCCAAAGCCAGTGCCCCCAAAGAAACGTCTCCCCTGGCCATGGAGCGGAGCAGACAGCCTTCTGCCTTCCTGGAGGAGGAGGACTCAGGGCGGGGCAGGGCAGGCTGTCAAAGGGGGGGGAAAAAGTAATTGTTTCTTGAGGGAATGAGCGTGTTTCCAGGGCGGTGGTGTTTGAGGGGGCCGTAGGGGGCGTGTCAGCTCCTCTTTAGAGGTGCAGCAGCTGTGGGGGGAGTCTGGGAGGCCACCGCCACCGGCCACCCTCTCACAATCTGTGCCTGAGCCCCTCATGGCCCTCTGCCGTTGGGGTCAGTCTCCACGCGGCCACGTGGCATGGACAGCTGCCCTAAATGTCCTGCCGGGCACAGGCCCCCTCAGGGAAGGTTCCGGCGGGTCCAGGAGTGAGGGCTCACGCAGATTGTGAGAGGGTGGCCGGTGGGGGTGGCGGCCAAGACCACTTCAGGGGATTCTGATCAGGGTCCCGAGGGCGGCGATCGTGCTGGACCATCCCAAGGTGGGAGGGGCCTCCATGCTGGGGACCCTGAGCCCACCCTTGGCCTTAGTAGCTCGCCCCCATACATCCAGAGACATGCACGGGCGCGCGCACATACGCAGGGCCGTGTGTATGCTCGGATGGACACCCGCACCCTGATGTGGCCTGCCCCGGCCCTGCACGCAGCACCTCCCGCGGCCTCCGGGGTCCCCCCTCAGAGACCTGATTCACCCCAGAACCCCCTCCCAGGACCTGCCTCCGGCGTGCCTGAGTCTGAGGGTCTGCCCTGGGCGGGGCACAGGCAGGGCGGGTGGATTGCTGGGGCCCTCCTGCTGGTTCATCAGGGGAAGCGGGGTTGGAGGGAGGGCCCGGAAGGCTTGGGGAGAGGGTGGGGAGGCAGGCCCACCAGCGGCTCTGCTGCTTCCTGTCAGATTACACAGCGTGTGCCGAGAGTCAGGCATAGAACAGGTGTGTGGCCCACCTGTTTGCATGTTCAGGGCCTGTCGGTCAGCTTGGGTCTGTGCTCTGGACAGTGTGGTCTGGGGGCGGTGTCTCCCAGACCACCTGGAGCTCTTGGGGTCATGGGGTGTGAGGGTGGGCACATGCGTGAGTGTCTGGGAGACTTTCTGGAGGAGGTGCTCTTTTGCCTTGGAGGTGGGCCTGAAGGTGCTTTGGGAACCTGGGGGCAGAGGACAGGGCGCAGTCCTCTGGGGGCGGCTGCACCCAGGCCTGGAGCTGCAGTGCTGGTGGCCTGGCCCCTCAGCGGTTAGGTTACAGGTGTTCCTTCTTGAGGAGGGCCGGGAGATGATCTCCTTAGAGATGAGAGTGGGTGTGTCTGGCCAGATGGGTGGGAAGGCAGGGAAGGGATCGTGGGCTCGGGTGGGCTGGGCAGGGTCAGGCACCGGGGGCTTCCTGTGGGGTGGGGTGGGTCCTCCAGACTGGGGCTCCCCTGACCCTCCTCCCTTCCCACAGGGTGCCGGGGGCAATGGCGCTGCAGCTCTGGACCCTGACCATCCTGGGCCTGGCGGGCACAAGTGCAAGCCTGCGGTCCCGCAAGCTGGACTTCTTCCGCAGCGAAACAGAGCTGAACCACCTGGTGGTGGACGAGGTGTCGGGCGTGGTGTACGTGGGGGCGGTGAACGCGCTCTACCAGCTGAGTGCCGACCTGCAGCTGGAGCAGCGGGCGGCCACGGGCCCGGCCCTGGACAACAAGAAGTGCACGCCGCCCATCGAGGCGAGCCAGTGCCACGAGGCCGTGCAGACTGACAACGTCAACCAGCTCCTGCTGCTCGACCCCCCCCGGAACCGCCTCATCGAGTGCGGCAGCCTCTTCAAGGGCATTTGCGCCCTGCGTTCCCTGAGCAACATCTCCTCGCTCCTCTTCTACGAGGACGGCAGTGGCGAGAAGTCCTTCGTGGCCAGCAACGACGAGAGCGTGGCCACCGTGGGGCTGGTGAGCACGACGGGCCCAAGCGGCGAGCACGTGCTCTTTGTGGGCAAGGGCAACGGGCCCCACGACAACGGCATCATCGTGAGCACGCGCCTGCTGGACCGGACGGAGGGCAGGGAGGCCTTTGAGGCCTACACGGACCACGCCACCTATAAGGCTGGCTACCTGTCCACAAACACACAGCAGTTCGTGGCTGCCTTCGAGGACGGCCACTACGTCTTCTTCGTCTTCAACCAGCAGGACAAGCACCCGGCCCGGAACCGCACGCTGCTGGCGCGTATGTGCAAGTACGACCCGTTCTACTACTCCTACCTGGAGGTGGACCTGCGCTGCCTGGGCCCCGACGACACCCGGGTCCCTGCCTTCGGCACCTGCCTGGCAGCCTCCGTGGCCCGGCCAGGCGCCACTGGGGTGCTCTACACTGTCTTCAGCACAGATGGCCGGGGTGGCGGGGGGCCACGGGCGGGCCTCTGCCTGTTCCCACTGGACGAGGTCCACAGCAAGATGGAGACCAGCCGCGATGCCTGCTACACGGGCACCCGGGAGGCAGGCCGGGACACCTTCTACAAGCCCTTCCACGGCGAGATCCAGTGTGGTGGCCACGGGTCGGTATGTGGCCTCAGCACGTTCTCCCACGGGCTTAGACCACGCACGTGTGGTTCTGCATGTGGCACTGCTTGCCGTGTCCACGTCCCACATGCTTGTGAAGGCCGTGTGTGTGTGTGTGTGTGTGTGTGTGCCTGCGTGTGTGGTGTCCCTGCGGACAGGTGAGCGTGAGATGTAGGTGCCACTTCTCCCAGGTGTCAGCCACGCTGGGCATTGGGTTTTGGAGCAGTGAGCACGTGGGTAGGGGCCCTGCCTGGGCCAGTCCTGGGGGACGTGTGCAGGGCCACAAGTGCTGGGAGTCGTGGTGGGGAGAGGCCTCGGGCAGGGGTCTGCACCCACCGTTGACGCCATGGTCCATAGGGTGCCAGCGAGAGTTTCCCGTGTGGCTCAGAGCACCTGCCCTACCCGCTGGGCAGCCGAGACGGACTCTCAGCTGTAGCCGTGCTGCACCGTGGAGGCCTGAACCTGACAGCTGTGACAGTGACGACCGAGAATGGCCACACCATCGCCTTCCTGGGCACCTCGGACGGCCGGGTCCTCAAGGTGAGGCCCAGGGCTGGGGCAGGGTGGTTTCCGGAGGGGTCCTCAGTGCACGAGGCCCCCTGCCCTCACCGTGCACCTGCCCTCGTGCCCACAGGTGTACCTCGCTCCAGATGGCAGCTCCGCGGAGTATGGCTCTGTCCTTGTGGAGATCAACAAGAGAATCAAGAGGGACCTGGTGCTGGCCGCAGACCTGGCCAGTCTGTACGCCATGACCCAGGACAAGGTTGGCCTGTGGAGCCTGGGAGGAGGGGCCTTGGTGGTCCAGCCCCTAGAGACACGCAGAGCATGCTGGGAGGGGGGCCAACTCTCATCTCCCTGGGTCCTGACAGTGTCTCTCGAGCACCTTTCCCGTCTTTGAAACCGTTTCTCTCTGTTCTGTGTCTCCGGCCCGGCCTTGGGCCCCTCCTAACCAGAGGGTCAGTGCTCTAAGTGGGCCTTCCCCAAGTGCAAACAGGGAGGCACGGGGCCCCAGGCAGCTTCTGTGAGCTCAGACGGTGGGGGACATGGGCCGCGGGATCCTGCGCCACCCGATCCTGGGTCAGGTCCAGCCTCTCGGCCGGGTCCCACAGAACCTGGCCAGCAGCGGCTGCCTGGAGCCCTCACTGCCCAGCCTCGAGGCTTAGCGGTAAAGGTGGGATCAAGCTGGTGGTCCCAGGAAAGTCTGGCGTCTGAGCGAGGTCCTTTGTGGCTGCTGGCCCGACACCTGCGGCGGCCGTAGTCCCGCTCACCGCCCCGGTGTCCCCAGGTGTTCCGGCTCCCCGTGCAGGAGTGTGAGAGCTTTTCCACCTGCGCCCAGTGCCGCAGCTCACAGGACCCCTACTGCGGCTGGTGTGTCGTCGAGGGACGGTGAGCATCCGGGAGTCTGGGGTGTTCGGCCCAGCCTGGGTCCGGGGGTGCCGCCCCACTCTGAGGGCTCATGGGTGCCCCCTGCCCCCGCAGATGCACCAGGAGGGCCGAGTGCCCGCGGGCCGAAGAGAGTGGCCACTGGCTGTGGAGCCGCAGTGAGGCCTGCGTGGCCGTCACCGAGACCCAGCCGCAGAACATGAGCCGCCGGGCGCAGGGAGAGGTGTGTGGTGGGGGTGGAGGCAGGGGCGCTGCTGGCCGGGCGCAGGGAGAGAGGTGTGCGGTGGGGGTGGAGGCAGGGGCACTGCTGGCCTGGGGCTGTGGGGACGGCAGGAGACCCGCGTAGTATCTCGCTCCTGGCCTGGACAGCGGTGCTGAGCCTGGGGACAGGGACCCCATCCTTTGTTGGGTTCCCTGGCCCCTGTGACCCGAGGGGCTTCTGAGAATCCAGGGCAGACCCAGGCCCTGTCCCAGGAGCGGCTTGGGTGACCACAGAGGGGCCCATTCAGATGAAATGGAGCCAGGCTCTAGAGGGTTCTCCGGGGGCAGGTGCACACATACAGGAGGGCGGCCGGAGAACGGCCAGAGGACCGGGGCTCAGGGCGGGGGCGGGAGGTTGCCTGCACCCTGAGGCTGGGCAGAGGAGTCCTGCTGTGAGCTGAGTGGCCCTTCCGCAGGTGCATCTGACCGTCAGTCCCCTCCCGGCCCTGAGCGAGGAGGACAAGCTGCTGTGCCTCTTTGGTGAATCACCGCCACACGTGGCGAGCATGCAAGGGGGCGCCGTGGTCTGCAACTCCCCAAGCAGCATCCCCAGCACGCCGCCTGGCCAGGGTGAGGCCCCGCCCGAGCCTGTCCCCTGAGCATTTGGGGCCAGCGGAGGACGGCTCACTGGTGAAGGTGGGGGCCACGCGGTGACATGGCTGGGACCTGGCAGGCGCTCTGCCCCAGACGCCCAGGAACCACTGCCCTCGGTGCCTCGGGACAGAGCGAGGGCCCAGCAGCGCAGAGCCCTGGGGAGCGACACACGAGCCGAGGTCTGATAGCGGCGGCGGGTCCTGCTGAGCCCTGCGGGGGCCCCACTCAGACCAGGGTCTCCACACGCGGCCTCCCGTTCTCTGCTGGGTCGCCTGTGGGGAGCTCTGATGGAAGGAGGAGTTGGGGCTGTGGGGGGGCCCAGTTCCGGCTTCCTGTTCCCCCCAGCCCAAGCCCGCCTCCCCCTGCGGCCCCGCCTGACGCTGGCCCCATCTGCTGTCCGCAGATCACGTGGCTGTGACCATCCAGCTTCTCTTCAAACGCGGCAACGTCTTCCTGACCTCCCACCTGTACCCCTTCTACGACTGCCGAGTGGCCATGAGCCTGGAGGAGAACCTGCCGTGAGTGCCCCTGCCTGTCCCTCACAGCCCCCGCTGCGGACCCCACACTTCTCACCACCCTCTCCTCCAGGTGCATCTCCTGTGCCAGCAACCGCTGGACCTGCCAGTGGGACCTGCGCTACCATGAGTGTCGGGAGGCCTCGCCCAACCCTGAGGACGGCATCGTCCGTGCCCACATGGTGAGGGGCCGTGAGGGCACGTGGGGGCCAGGCTGCTCGGCCGAGGCCAGGCAGCACCTGACCAGCCCTGCCCCCCCAGGAGGACGACTGCCCCCAGTTCTTGAACCCCAGCCCGCTGGTCATTCCCATGAACCACGAGACGGCTGTGACCTTCCAGGGCAAGAACCTGGACACGGTGAAGGTGCGGGGGGCTTGTGGGGCCCTGGCTAACCAGTGAGGTCAGGCCTGGGGGTCCCAGCAGGGGCCATGATGGCTGGTGGAGAGGCATAGGCTTGTTCAGAGCCGTCCTCCTGCAGACCAGAAGCTAAGCACCGGGGCCCATCCAGCCTTCTGCGGCTCAGGGCCCAGCATGTGAGGGAGGCAGAGGGGTCAGGGTGGACGTGGGGACATCTGGACGGGCCTCGAGGGTTTAGGGCGTGCAGGGGCTGGGCAGCCGAGTGCCACTCAGGAGGGAGCAGGGCGGTGAGTCCGGGTGTTGACCGTGGCGGGGCCTGTCTGTGAGCGGCTTGGTGTCAGTCGGGATGGGGGCGCCCAAGCTGGCCCGGGAGCTGTGTGGGGCACGGCAGGCCCCGGGGCCCAGGGCGGGCATGTGGGACGCGCTGGCCCGCCTCGGGTATCCTGACTGGCCTGTCTGGCAGGGCTCCTCCCTGCGTGTGGGCAGTGACCTGCTCAAGTTTGAGGAGCCAGTCAGCACACAGGAGCAAGGAACCTTCTCCTTTCGGACCCCAAAGGTACGCCTCCCGGGGTGGGTGGGCCAGGCTGGTGGACCCCGAGGGCTGGCCCTGCGGGGGCTGCCCAGTTACCTCCGGGGCTTGAGGGGTGGGGCGGGGGCAGGCTCACCAGCTGCCCTTCTGGGGAAGCGGGGCCAGCAGGCAGGTGTGGCCTCAGAGCATCCCTGGGCCTCCCGTCTCCCTGGAATCCAAGTCATCCTCCGTCTCTGAGCCTCCAGCTTCTAGCCACCTGGAGGCCTCCCCTTGCTGCCCGTCAGCCGTGAGGGGACACACGGTGGTCACCCTCGGGGGCTCGGGTGGGAGGCGGGTGTGCAGCGTGTCCCTGTGTGCCCCCAGCTCTCCCACGATGCCAACGAGACGCTGCCCCTGCATCTGTACGTCAAGTCCTACGGCAAGAATATCGACAGCCGGCTCCAAGGTGGGTGGGCTGCGCAGCTGGGCTGGTGGGCGGGCAAGGGCAGCAGGGCGGCCCTGCCGACGGCCAGCTTCTCCCTCCACAGTGACCCTCTACAACTGCTCCTTCGGCCGCAGCGACTGCAGCCTGTGCCTGGCTGCTGACCCCGTCTACAGGTGTGTGTGGTGCAGCGGGCAGAGCAGGTGTGTGTACGCGGCCCTGTGTGGCAACGCCACCTCCGAGTGCCCACCGCCCGTCATCACCAGGGTAAGCCCCCTTACCCCTGACCTCCCTGGCAGGAGGGACTCCAGCCCAGCCCGGGACCAGCTGCGCAGCCTGGCCTGCCCGAGCCACCAGGTCAGCCGGGCTCTGCCAATTTCAGATCCAGCCTGAGACTGGTCCACTCGGCGGAGGCATTCGCGTCACCATCCTCGGGTCAAATCTGGGGGTCAGAGCAGATGACGTGAAGAGGGTCACCGTGGCTGGCAGGAGCTGTGCCTTTGAGCCAGAACGCTACTCCGTGTCCACGCGGTGAGTGGGCAACCTGGGCCCTCCGAGCTGGGCCAGGCCCTACCCTGGGGGGCCGGGGGACTGGGGGGATGGAGAGGAAGGACATGGTCCAGGTATGCGTGGGCGCCCAGGGCTTGCACACACACAGAGTGTGCCCACCTGCCTGCCACCCACGCAGGATCGTGTGCACCATCGAGGCTGCAGAGGCGCCCTTCACGGGGGGCGTCGAGGTGGACATCAGCGGGAAGCTCGGCCATTCGCCTCCCCATGTCCAATTCACCTATCAGGTAAGCACCCGGCAGGTGGCTCTTGCAGGTCAGGACAAACGTGGGTGGGATCTGGGGGGCCATGCGCTGACTTGGGGTGAGGCGAGGCTGTGCCCCTGCCTCTTTCTGACAACGGTCATGGCCCAGTCGAGGCCCGGGAGGGAGGGCCGCAGCCCTGCCGCCCCAGCCCTGAGTCAAATGTCCCTGCTTTTCTCTTCTAGCAGCCCCAGCCCCTCAGTGTGGAGCCAAAGCAGGGGCCACAGGCGGGTGGCACCATGTTGACCATCAATGGCACCCACCTGGACACAGGCTCTGAGGAAGACATGCGGGTGACCCTCAATGACATCCCTTGTAAAGTGTGGGTGTCACCCACAGGCCGCCAAATCCTGGTCTGCCCTGGTCCTGGGGACAGGGTGAGGGCCCTCTGGCCGTGACCCTGTGTCTATCCTGGAGGGGGCAGTGGAACCAACCAGACCCACTGACGCACTGGCCTGGGGCTGCGGGTGGTCCCAGGGTGGGGTTGACATTGACTGGCAATCCCCACCCCCAGGACGCAGTTTGGGGCACAGCTTCAGTGTGTCACCGGCCCCCAGGCGGCTCCGGGAGAGCTGCCCCTGAAGATTTACTATGGGGGCTCCGCGGTGCCCAGCCCTGGCGTCACCTTCACCTACCGTGAGAACCCAGTCCTGCGGGCCTTTGAGCCGCTGCGGAGCTTTGTCAGGTGAGACCTCTCCCCCCGCCCGTGGCAGGTGCCCCCCACTCCCACACTGCTGGCCACACCCACCCCATCTAGCTATTTCCCAGGTGCCCTCTTCTCACTGGGCTTGTGAGGATATGGCAGAGCTGGTATGGGTGACAGGAGGAGGCCTCCAAAAATCCCCACTGTACCCCCAGGTCGGGCAGGCCCGACATCCCGCCTCCACCTCCCCCCGCCACCCAGCCCAGCCCTGCTTCTGACAGTCCAGGGTGGCGGTGCTCAGTCACGTGCTCTGAGCACACACACCCCACCCCACCCCCCGCCCCTGCCATTGCAGCAGGTCTGGGCTTGCACACACCTGCAAGGGTATCCAAAAGCAGGGTGGGGGCAGGGACACGGCCTTGCAGGGCACCTGCTCTGGAGCTGGCTGGGCACCTCCCTTGCCCAGGTGTGCCCACTCAGGCACCATCCCCCTCCCTGCCCCCCAGTGGTGGCCGGAGCATCAACGTCACAGGACAGGGCTTCAGCCTGATCCAGAAATTCGCCATGGTGGTCATAGCCGAGCCCCTGCAGTCCTGGAGGCGGCGGCGGGAGGCCGGACCCCTGCAGCCCGTGACGGTCAGTTGGTGCCCGCTGCTGGGGACACGCCAGGGCAGGATGCAGCCTGTGCCAAGTGGCCTAACGGTCCTGCCTCGGCTCTTAGGTCGTGGGCAGGGAGTACGTGTTCTGCAGTGACTCCAAGGTCGTGTTCTTGTCCCCGGCCGTCCCCGAGGAACCCGAGGCCTACAACCTCACAGCGCTCATTCAGATGGATGGGCACCAAGCCCTGCTCAGGACTGAGGCTGGTGCCTTTGAGTACGTCGCCGACCCCACCTTCGAGAACTTCACAGGGGGCGTCAAGAAGCAGGTCAACAAGCTCATTCACGCGCGGGTGAGGACCAGTGCAGCCCCGGGGTCAGGTCCTGAGCGGGTGCGTGTAGGGGAGCAGCCCAAGGTCTGGGCTGAGCTGGTCGGGGCATCCCTGAACCCCTCCTGGGCACTGTGGCCCCGTCCCCCGCCCCCCAGGGCACCAATCTGAACAAGGCGATGACGATTCACGAGGCCGAGGCCTTCGTGGGTGCCGAGCGGTGCATCATGAAGACACTGACGGAGACCGATCTGTACTGTGAGCCCCCAGAGGTGCAGCCCCCTCCCAAGCGGCGGCAGAAGCGGGACACGACCCACAACCTGCCTGAGTTCATTGTGCGTGTAGGGTGGGGGCAGGGAGGGGACAGGGCACCGGGCTCTCGTGGTCTCGGCCACACACCTGTTCTTGCTGACTCCGCCTCTCCACGCAGGTGAAGTTTGGCTCCCGGGAGTGGGTGCTGGGCCGCGTGGAGTATGACACGCGTGTGAGTGACGTGCCGCTCAGTCTCATCCTGCCGCTGGTCATCGTGCCCATGGTGGCCGTCATCGCCGTGTCTGTCTACTGCTACTGGTGAGCCTCTCCCCCGGCAGCCTCAGCCCCTTGGCCACACCCACCGGCCAGCACAATCCAGGCCAGGTCCCAGGAGCTTCCCTGTGCCCCCAGGAGGAAGAGCCAACAGGCAGAGCGCGAGTACGAGAAGATCAAGTCCCAGCTGGAGGGCTTGGAGGAGAGCGTGCGTGACCGCTGCAAGAAGGAGTTCACAGGTCGGGGCCGCCCTGCAGGTCCCGGGGGAGGAGGGCTCGGAAGAGGCTGCATTGGGAGGGACGGAGGAGGGGGGCTGCCGGCGGGCGGATGCCTCACCACGACCTCCCTGCAGACCTGATGATTGAGATGGAGGACCAGACCAACGACGTGCACGAGGCAGGCATCCCCGTGCTGGACTACAAGACCTACACCGACCGCGTCTTCTTCCTGCCCTCCAAGGACGGCGACAAGGACGTGATGATCACGGGCAAGCTGGACATCCCTGAGTCACGGCGGCCCTTGGTGGAGCAGGCGCTCTACCAGTTCTCCAACCTGCTCAACAGCAAGTGCTTCCTCATCAACGTGAGCGGGGCGGGGCCTCTGGGGCGTGGGTGGGGCTGTGAGGGGCGGGGCCCCTGGAGCGAGGGGGCGGGGCGGGGCGGGGCTCTGAGCGGCCTCCCCCACAGTTCATCCACACCTTGGAGAACCAGCGGGAGTTCTCGGCGCGCGCCAAGGTCTACTTTGCGTCGCTGCTGACGGTGGCGCTGCACGGGAAGCTGGAGTACTACACGGACATCATGCGCACGCTCTTCCTGGAGCTCATGGAGCAGTATGTGGTGGCCAAGAACCCCAAGCTGATGCTGCGCAGGTGTGTGGGGAAGGGCAGAGGCCGCGGTGGGGGGTGTTAGGGGGTGGCAGTGGGGCAGCCCAGGCTTGTCCAGGCACCTGGTTTGCCAGCAAGTACAGCCAGTGCCAGTGAGTAGGGCAGAGGGATGGCGGGGGGCATCGCTGCTAGCAGGTGGTCTGTGCTGGCCACTTATCTGCTCCCCCTTCTCATCGGCCCTTTGCAGGATGGGGTGGAAGACGAAAGGCCCACACTGAGGGGGCTGGGAGATTGGTCACTGCAGGCTGTAAATGTACAGCCTGACGGAGACTCTGGCCTGGACGGAGGCTGGGCTGCTCTGAGGGTGGTCTGGGTACTTGGAAGAGCCAGCCGATCCTAGGGGCACTAAAGGGCCCCTCCACACAAGACCTTTCTGTATCTCCAGGTCTGAGACAGTGGTGGAGAGGATGCTGTCTAATTGGATGTCCATCTGCCTGTACCAGTATCTGAAGGTGGGCTCCACACAGCCCTGCCAGGGGGTGGGGAGGGACGAGGTGGTGCTGTACCCCCCGAATGTCCACCTCCCTGCGGCCCAGCTCCACCTGGACGGGTTTGCTTCCCACCCTGGCACGATCAGTCCCACCGTGGCTCAGCCGCCCCGTGTTGCTGTAGGACAGTGCAGGAGAGCCGCTGTACAAGCTCTTCAAGGCCATCAAGCATCAGGTGGAGAAGGGGCCGGTGGATGCTGTGCAGAAGAAAGCCAAATACACCCTCAATGACACAGGGCTGCTGGGGGACGACGTGGAGTATGCACCCCTGGTGAGCCCCTGGGGCTGGACGGGCTGCTGGGAGACCTCAGGGGCCGGGTTCCAGGCCAGCCTCAGGACCAGAAGCTGATGCCACTCGCCTCCTTCGTGGACTTGCATTAGAACCCATTCCCCGTGCTGGGCCCACCCGTGTTCAGGGAGGGGCCTGGGTCATGGGTCTTCAGCAGGCTCGTGGGTCACTGGAGAGAGGCTCTAAGTGTCATGACCCCAAGCCAGCTGCCTCCTGGGTGCCCGGGCCTGCTGCAGGCATTTGAGGGGCCTGGGCACACCAAGTGAGTGGTGGTAAACTCGTGCGCGTGTGGAGGTGGTACGTGGTGTGTGCCCCCGTGATGCCTGTGTGTTGCGTGATACCTAGAAGTGAGCAGTCCTCTGCCCTCTGTCCTGCTGAGCCATGGCACGCAGGAAAGGGTGAGGCCTGGGTGCTGAAGGGGCTCAGGATCCCCACCACCACTCCTCCACCTGAGGGTGTCGCCACTCGGGGGGAGCCCCAAGACTGCCCCCGGTTTGGGGCGAGCGAGGGCAAGGGCCCCTCCCCAACTGGCCCTTCGTTCTGTGTCCCCTGGCAGATGGTGAGCGTGATCGTCCAGGACGAAGGGGTCGACGCCATCCCTGTCAAGGTCCTCAACTGTGACACCATCTCCCAGGTCAAGGAGAAGATCATTGACCAGGTGTACCGCACGCAGCCTTGCTCCCGCTGGCCCAAGGCTGACAGTGTGGTCCTCGGTGAGCACCACCCTCGTGTGCCTGGCTCTGTGCCCGTGGAAGCCCAGTCGGCCAGGTCGGGTGGGGGATAGCGAGAGGGAGCCCGGACAGGGTGGGCTGTGGCCGGGTTCCAGGAGCTGGGCTGTGTCCTCCCACAGAGTGGCGTCCTGGGTCCACAGCCCAGATCCTGTCAGACCTGGACCTGACCTCTCAGCGGGAGGGCCGGTGGAAGCGCGTCAACACGCTGATGCACTACAACGTGAGTGGGCGGCCGGGCGGGCCGAAGCCCCTGCTGAGAGTGGGGCAGGAGGCCCGCCCTCATGACTCTGTTCCCCAGGTCCGGGATGGAGCCACTCTCATCCTGTCGAAGGTGGGGGTCTCCCAGCAGCCTGAGGACAGCCAGCAGGACCTGCCTGGGGAGCGTGAGTCCCTTCCCCTTGTCCGGGCCCTTCTGGCCTCTGGAGGTCATCGTGAGCCAGCGTCCACCGCATGCCGCCGTCTCGGGGGAGCTGTGAGCCCGGCGTGGGACCCAGGCCCCGGGGCCCGGTCCTCGTCCTTCAGCACCCCCCTCCCCCACAGGCCACGCCCTCCTGGAGGAGGAGAACCGGGTGTGGCACCTGGTGCGGCCAACGGACGAGGTGGACGAAGGCAAGTCCAAGCGTGGCAGCATGAAGGAAAAGGAGCGCACCAAGGCCATCACCGAGATCTACCTGACCCGCCTGCTCTCGGTCAAGGTGGGCCGCGGAGGGCGCGTGGGAGGCAGACCTGGGACGGCGCCAGTGGGACGCGCTGAGCCCCGCTCCCGCCCCGCAGGGCACGCTGCAGCAGTTCGTGGACAACTTCTTCCAGAGCGTGCTGGCGCCTGGCCACGCGGTGCCGCCCGCAGTCAAGTACTTCTTCGACTTCCTGGACGAGCAGGCAGAAAAGCACGACATCAAGGACGAGGACACCATCCACATCTGGAAGACCAACAGGTATGGGCTCCGTGCCTCCACCCGCCCCGCCCGCCCTGCTCCAGGCCTCGGCGGCCCCTCACACCCTGTCGTCCCGCCTCAGTTTACCTCTCCGGTTCTGGGTGAACATCCTCAAGAACCCCCATTTCATCTTCGACGTGCACGTCCACGAGGTGGTGGACGCCTCCCTGTCGGTCATCGCACAGACCTTCATGGACGCCTGCACACGCACAGAGCACAAGCTGAGCCGCGTAAGTGCAGCTGCGGGCAGCCCAGCCCGCTTCCTGGCAGCGTGAAGCATCAGGGGAGGGGGCTGTGGTGCAGGTGGGGAGGTCGCTTTGGGGCGTGGATTTGCACAGCGGGGCTGGAGCTCAGTAGAAAGACAGGTGCAGGGTACCTGGGGCGGAGGGAGGCCCCCTGGGCAGTGGACCTGTGGCAGCCTGGGACCCCGAGCTCCTTCCCTTCCGTGAGAGAGAAAAAGTGAGTTTTACTATTAATCACAAAATGACGAAAACACTGTCAGGTCTGTGGATAGGTAGGGCAGCTACCGCCGTTGGACCCCCATCCCCCGCACACCCCTCTTTCTCTGGGTATCCTGAGCGCGTGCAGGTGTCTCGGCCTGGGTGTCACTTGGCTCTGACTCCCACAGGACTCTCCCAGCAACAAGCTACTCTACGCCAAGGAGATCTCCACCTATAAGAAGATGGTGGAGGAGTGAGTCCCCCCCACCCCCCAACGAGGCCAGAGCCTGGCTGCCCACCCTCAGCCCCCACCCAGCGGGGCCCCCGGGCGGTGCAGGCCTGTGATCAGGAGGTGGGGCCCGTGGGTAGCTTCGGGTCCAGCGTCCGGGAGCCACCGCCCCCCCCCCCCCCTTCCCGGGCCCCCCCCCCCGGCCCACCCTGTGTAACTCCCCCTGCCCCCACAGCTACTACAAGGGGATCAGACAGATGGTGCAGGTCAGCGACCAGGACATGAACACACACCTGGCAGAGATTTCCCGGGTAAGGGTGGCACAGGGGATCCACAAGCTGAGCCCCCCCAGGATTAGCCCTCCACCACCCCCGCCCCCCCGGAAGGCCCTGCTGTGCGGGCCAGGAGACTGCATGGGGGGGCGGGCAAAGTTGTGCCCACGGGGGAGAAAGGAGAGGCGCAGACGAGGGGGCATGGGGGGCGGCGGGGCTCGCGAGCAGCTCTGAGCCAGCCCCGCCTGCCGTGGGTCTGCATGGGTGGGAGACTCTCTGTCCGCGGTGTGCCGTGGCTGTGCGTGTCACGACTGTCGGGGGGACCCTTCGCGTCTGCCTGCTCCACTGGGAGACAGCCTCCTGTCCCTGGGTCATGCAGCCCTTCCGCCACCCTCCCAGGCGCACACGGACTCCCTGAACATCCTCGTGGCCCTGCACCAGCTCTACCAGTACACGCAGAAGTACTACGACGAGGTAGGGGTCCGGTCCTTCCAGGATGGCCGTGCTCACCCTAACCCTAACCCTGACCCTGGCCTGTGCTCTGACGTGACCCCTCCTCAGATCATCAACGCCCTGGAGGAGGATCCCGCCGCCCAGAAGATGCAGCTGGCCTTCCGCCTGCAGCAGATCGCGGCTGCGCTTGAGAACAAGGTCACGGACCTCTGACTGCGACCTCCACCGTCATGGTCTTGGGACACAGGTGTGTGACACCCACTGCCGGGCGCTGGGCGGCCCCGGGGGAGCACGGCCAAGCGGGCAGGACTCAGCCCTTCTCTCTCTGGCAGAGGAAGAGCCCCCGGGCTTCCGAGTGTGTGCGTGGCAGGGGGGCCCCCACCTCAGCATTTGTAGCCTCATAGCACCCTTCTCCTGAGCAATAGTGCCGGGCGCCCACCAGCACCAGTTCCCTCCTGCAGAACCAGCATCGGGGGTGTCTCCTTCAAGCCTCCTGAGTGATTCGAAAACGTGCCTTATGCCCCCGGCGCCACACTGGGTTGCTGGGGGCAGTCGGGCCTCAGCCCCCCTCCCCAGGCACCAGCAGCCGCCTCAGATACCTGGGTTGGGCCTTTTGGGGTGAGGTCTGAGTGCCCTCGGCCCCCAGGACCTAGTGCCCAGACTCTGTCCGTCTGCCCTACCTGGACTGGGGCAGAAAAGTGGTACGATGCCTTCCTGACCTCGGTGGCCTGCCCTGCGGGGCACTGGCACTCCCGGGGGACTCCGTGCTGCAGGCCCCACCTCAGAGGTCAAGCTGGACGTCAGACGTCGAGGCCCAGGCGGCCAGAAGGGACCCAGCGGACTGGGGGTCAGGGTCCCGGCCTGTCAGACAGGCTGACCTGGAGGCCCTGCCCAGGTCCGGGGGGCCGGGAGCAGCTCCGCCAGGACACCCTCAACCCTTTTTGTAAATCTTGTTAATTGTCAATCAAATACAGCTGTCTTTTTCACTCTGCTGGTTGGCTGGGTTCTTCCCGGGGCTGCCGACCCGCCGTCCCTACACACCTGCCCCGTTGTGGTACTGGGCCTGTCCTGCCCACGGCCTCCCTTCCTGTGCGCTCCTGGCCCCAGAAGCTCACCTGAAGGTGGGCCCGTGTGCCCTCGCACACCCATCCCACAGTCCCTGGCTCCCCTGGGCCAGGCCTGCTGGGTGTGCTGAGGCAGCCCGTCCACGGCCACCAGCTCGGCTGAGTCCACGCCTTCCTGCTGCCCCAGCAGGACAGGATGGTGGTCAGGGGTGGGAGGTGAGCGCTGGGGTGCGAACCTCTCCCAGAGGCACATCCTGGTGCACCCCAGCACTGAAAGTGATCCTGAAGCAGGTGGAGGTTCCAAGGGCACAGGGCGGCGGCCCCGCCCCCCACGGTGCGGGACTGGGCCTGCTTGGACGCCATCTGGTGGCAGGGGTGGGCGTGGCGCGAGCTCTCAGGGACCTGTTTTCTCCTTCCTGAGGTGCCGTGCCTCACAGGTGTGGCCCACCCAGCACACGTTTAGTAAGCCCCTACTGGGTGCAGACCCCACTGGACACGGTGGTTCCTGGAGGGAGGCCCTGTATCCCCCTGCTCGAGGCTGTGGGGCCATTAGGGTCCCAGGCGCCTGAGAGCAAGAGGCACCTTTGTTGGTGTAGGAAGGAGGGGCTTGTCCCGGAGACAGGCGATGTGGGGAGGCAGACTGCTCCCAACCCCTGTGTTGCACACAGAGCAGGAGTCGTGAGATGCGCTCCTCTGTGGCCAGTAAGGCACACGTACCGTGACCACACGGGCATGCACGTGCGCGCACATGCAGCACCAGCGTTGGGCCCCTCACTCGTTCACTCAACACGCGTGGTCCTGGGCACTAGGGACACAGCAGTAAAGGCGGCAGAAAGGGCCTTCCTTGAGGGAGCCCTTGTGTTGCAAGAATACCAACCCTAGCAGAAAAGGGATTTAGTGGCTCCGTAAAGGCAAGCGAAGGGGTCCAGCTTCAGATGTGGCTGGATCCAGGTGCTCACATGTCTTTGGGTTCCATCTATCTGAACTTCTTCCCAACACGTGCTCCTTTATTCTCAGACACCTGGGACGCTGGTGGCAGGGCACCCCAGCCTGTGTCTCCTCCACTTGGGGCGCACCATTGTGGCTGAGAAGTCTCAATGGGCTCGGCCTCGATCATAAGCCACTTCTGTACAGGGACAGCCCGTTTTGAGCCACATGGAACACCCCTCCCACGTGGAAGGGGTACTAGGCAAACAGCTGACGCCCCCCACCCCAGGGACCCTGAAATGACAGTGTACTATGGTCAGGACCAGAGACCCAGATGGGCAGGAGATCTGAACAAGGTACTGCTAAACCAGAGCAGGCGTGGCATAGTCTGGGAGTGTTCACCCTGGGGGGAGCAGGGGCGGGGGAGCAGGAACCTGGAGGCCTGGCTTCTAGACTGGACCCCTGTGGGCCACTTGCTCCTCAGCCAGGCATGAGATGGAGAAGTCAGTGAGCCCACCTTTTGCTGCGGGTCTAACAGGTGGGGTTCCCTTCCCCCTCGGAGGACAGGAGTGTGAAGGGATCCAGGGGCCATGCTTTCATGGGGCCAGTGAAGAAACTGGGCATGGATGTTGGGTGCACGGGGGTGGGCAGGAGGCTGGCAGACCAAGGGGTGACCCAGCCTTCTTCACTTTCCACTTCCCACTTTCCTCCCAATGCAGTGGGAGTGGGGAGATGCAGGGATGGAGGTGACCAGCGACCTCGATGACCTTTCCTTCCAAATTGCAGAAAACGGCCCAGGACCACACCCTGCTTGCTTGTTATGAGCATGAGACCTCACCTAAATCATGAGGCCCCTGTGACGGGGCCAGATAGCATTTTAGGAAGTTCGTCCTGACCTCAGGGAGAAGTGCAACCAGGAGACCAGTGTGGGGCTGAAGAGGGGATGGCCTGGACCTGTGGAGAGGGGACAGTGGACACGGAGGGTGGGGGCATCTCGGTACTTAGGGGTAGCTGTGAATCACAGTAGAGAGTGGAAGGAGGCGGGGGGGGGGGGGGCCGGGGACCCAGGGCTCATAGGAGGCTATTCCGTGCCGCCCCATCTGTGCCCCATCTGCACACGCACTGGCAAGGCCTGCCACTCCTGGCTGCCCTCCATCCACACCACCCTCCCTCCAGGCTCAGTCCTCGACCTGCCGGCCGGGATAACGCTGTGAAAACACACAGCACAGTGCGAATAAAAATCTGAAATCCTGTCGGTGCTCCCTGCCCAGCCTGCCACGGCCCTGCACCCATGGCCGCCACTCTCCATTCTGGTCCTCAAGTCAGGCTAAGTCCTGAGAGGCAGGACCGTCTGGAAGCTGGCCCAGCATCATTGCTGTCACCTCTGGGGGCTCTGACTGCGCTCTCCCTGCCACCCCCCCACCACGGGGAATCCTCCCTGGTCATTCCCCTGCAGTATCACAGCCCCCTCCCCTCCAGAGGGCAACTTGGCCGAGACTGATCTGCCGGGGCAGCGGGGCACACTGCGGGCGCCCCTGTGCCCAGGGCAGGTTTGCTGAACGCTGAGGGAGGGTCTCAGTGCGGTGTGTGACCGCTGAGCAGGGCAGTGAGGCCGCTCCCCTCTGGTCGGCGCTGACCACTCACAGCTGGGATTCCGGGTCGACAGACACCCCTGCCCCCGTGGAGGAGAGGGACAAAGGCCGCCCCTCCCTGCAGCGCGGCCGGTTCCCACGGCCCGCTGCTCCCTCCCGCCTCCTCTTCCCCTGCTTTAGCTGAAGCTCCATTAACTCCGCACAAAACCTCGGCTGCTTCGCCCGGCAGGCCGCCGGGAAAGTGCCCCCAGCGTGAGGCCCCGAGGAGGCCCCGGGCGGGGCAGCTGGGGGAAGGGACACCGGCGTCCTCACCCCATCCCCACCGACCTCTGCTGGCTCCCAGAGAGGGAACTGAGGCCAGAGCGGCTGGGACTGGGACCCTGCTTCCTTTCTCACTTTTGGGCTCCCCCCAGGGTCCGGATTTGCCAGGCAGAAGTGTCCGTTTGCCTGGTACTGTGTTGACATGTTTTATTTTAATTTGGTTATCAATATTTGAGTATCAGGAGATTTCACATAAAAACTCAGGCTTTAGTTTGTTTCAAAAAAGTGGAAGGTTGGGACCTCAGCCTGATTTCCCCCTCTCCTGGGAGGAGGCAGCCCAACCTCTACCCACTGCTTCTGCAGGGTGGGGGGTCAGGAGGTATTTATATCCCAGGCAATGTTCTCTCCGAACCACTGTCACTTTAAGTGGGAAGTAGGAATAATCACTCTGACCTAGAGCTCTACACAGATGCTGAACTAGGGAACATGCCCCTTCACAGTTTCGGCCGCCTGTGCGAACTGCACCTTCCAGGTGGAGAGAGGAAATGTGCGGTGCTGGGCAGAGTTCACCGATCTCGGGGAACGGTGGTTTCCAACTAGGGGAGCCCCGCAGGACCTAGGAAAGTCAGGGTGGGCTTCCTCGAAGAGTTGACAGCTGAGGGAGCTGTTTCAGAAGGAGGAAAGGTACCAGGCCCCAAAGAGGACCCATTTGGGGAGAGCGTCTTACGGGCCCAACACCCCAAAGGCCCCTGGTGCCGCCGCTGTCCCTGGTCCTGAGGGCTGGTCTCCGGGCCTGGCCCGGCAGTCACGCTTCTCCCAAAGGGCAGCAGGGCCCAGTCCCGGAGCCAGCCCGTGCAGGACGCCACACCAGACCGTGGAAGGGTTACCGGGAAGCGAAGCACACCGCCAAGGCCGGATGGCCTCCGCGGGGGGGGGGAAGGCAGGCTGACCCAGGATGCAAGGCACTTGCACCTGCCCGCGGCGGACGGGCCCTATCCAAGCAAATGCCTAGCTTTTATTAGGGGGTATTTTCTATTCTGATAAAAAAATACCTCCCATGGCTTGTCCCTGGCTTCTTTGATTTAGAGGATTCTACCTTCATTTCTGTGGGAGCACGCTGGGGGAAGAGGTGCGGTGCAGGTGAGAGGAGAGAAGGGATGCACGGACCAGAGCAGGTTGAAGGCGCGTTAAACGCAGGACCCGGACTAGGCGGATGGCGGGACGCGGGGGGAGGTGGACAGCGGGGCGGTGCCGGCGTCTGTGCCGGCAGGGGAGGGTGCGGGGAGCTGAGTCCTGAGAGGTGGTGGCGGCCTGGTCCGGGCGGTGCCGCGCCGAGGACCCACGCGGCGGACATTGGGGAAGTGCGTGGACCCCGGGAGGTGGGCGGTAAGTCGTTCCACGGCATCCCCTTCCCCCCACCTCCCCACCCCGCCCCGGGAAGGCCGGTTTCCGCTCGACCGCCGCCTCGGAGGGGCAGGAAGCCGCGCGTTCGTCTGCGGGAACCCCCGCCCCGGCCCCGCCCCGCTCCGCTCCGCCTCCGGCCTCCGGCTCGGGCTCCGCGGGGCGGGGGGCGCGGGGCGGGGCGCGGGCCGAGCTGCGGCCGCTCTGGACATGTCGGGCCCGCGCGCCGGCTTCTATCGGCAGGAGCTGAACAAGACGGTGTGGGAGGTGCCGCAGCGGCTGCAAGGGCTGCGCCCGGTGGGCTCGGGCGCCTACGGCTCCGTCTGGTAGGGGCGGGACGGGGCAAAGGCGGGGGGACTGAGCGCGCGCCCCCTCCCCGCCCGTGCGGGGTTCCCGGCGTGGGGAGGGGCTCGCCCTGCCTCCGCCCCCGGGCCTTACGCAGATCCGAGGAATGAATGGGGGGTGGGGGCGTGAGGGAAACTTTCCTACCCGAGCCTCTCCCCGGCGGGAGAGGGGTCGTCCTCCCGCCCCTCCAACCCGGAGCGTCCCCCTCCGGGCCCGAATCCTGCGGCGTCACAGCTGCCGAAAGGGCGGGCAGGTCCCCCGGGCCCCTTGATGTCTGAGCATGCATCGGGGGTGCCCCCCGTCAAGGGCCAGGCATCTGGGCTCCGGCAGGTACCCCCGCCCCAGGGTGGGTAGCTCTGTTTGAAAAGGAAGAGCCCAGATTGGGGGGTGGGGGGCAAGACCCCTCACCTACGAACGACCGCAAGCTCCCCCGTGGGTCCAGTCCACTGCCCCATTTTCCAAGGGATCTCAGGCTCCGAATGGGGCTTAGGCCTGATCAGAGACGCCTACCATCCCCCCCTAGGGGGCGTCTACACCCCACCCCATTTTTGCCCCAACCAAGAGAGCTCACACGCAGCCTGCAGTTAGGCCCTGGAGCCCAGACAGCAGGGGGTGTGGGGCCGGGGGAGGCCTCTGGACCTGGTGGCGTGGAGGCCGGAGGGGGCTTTGGGTGGCAGGGGGCTTGCTTGCGGACAGTCCAGGTTGCAGTTGCGGTGTTGACAGTGAGCCTGATTGTGGGTGTGGATGTTGAGAGGTGACCCCCCAGAACCCAGAACCTGTGAAATGCGGGGTGACTGTGGGGGTCATGGGTGTGGGGAGGCAGGGCCCCTGGGGGCAGGGTGTTGCTCCAGGATCCTGCAGAAGGTTGGGAGTGGGACTTCTCAGACCCCCTTACGAGGCCCAGCACTGGAGCCTGGAGCAGAGGTTTGGGGTCCCCTGGGCCTCAGATCTCACTCCGCCACTGGCCAGCCATCAGGAATCTCAGGCCATTCCAGCCACAGGCCTCTATCTTCATGTCTAAGACCACAAGGGCAGGAAGAGGGTGTGGGCCAATGTGTGAGTGGTCCCTGGGGGATCTGACAGAGCCCTTGCTGGAAGTGCCTTCTGGGAACTCGTAGGGACAGTCAGGCTCCCCAGGGGAGGTCTCTCTCCACCACTTAGCTCTGCAGGGCCCCCATGCCGGTGATGGGCTCCCTCCCTCCTCTGATGTCTGAGGAAGCTGGTGACCCGGTGCCAATTCCCACAGTCCTTTGTTGACTGTGCAGACACAAAAGGATCTGCTGCGCGTGCACGCACGCACACACACACACACACACACACACGAGCGTGCACACGCACCCCATGAAGAGCCACTCCCCTACTTCCCACCCCAGCAGTGACTTGGATGGGGGAGGGACTTTCCTCCAGCACTGCCTGGGCCCATGAGCACCCCAGGTCCTGCAGGAGCTGCTCCCTGGGCCGCGTGGGCATGGGAGGTGGGCTGAGGCTCCACTCGCTCTGGAGGGAGGCTGGATCCTGGAGATGAAGTGGGAGGGAAGGGGGGGGCAGCAGCCAGAGGGAACACTGGGCGAAGGCATCCCTTCCCGAGGGGCAGTGGGGCCACTGGACGACCAGGCCACTTGTGTTTGAGGATGATGCCCGTGAGTGTGGCATCTCCTGTGAAGAGTAGCTGGGTGTGGGGCTTGAGGGTCTAGACCTCAGGGGAGTGGGGTTGCACGAGGGGAAATATTCTGTGGGTCCAGGCACCACCCTCTGCTGGGTATTTCCTGCTGTCCAGTTTCTCATTGTGAAAAATAACCATGCAATAAACCCCTTTGGTCAGGTTTTCCTCCATATTTTGAATATTTGGGGGCTTTGGAGGTGACTCTGGAACCCCCTCAGGGGGCCTCCCAGACCCCCTGGCCTATGGGGGAGCTGGAGGGGCTGCCTGCTGTCTGCCACTGGCTGTTTCCCTGGCCTGTTATTTCCACCCTGAGCTGGGGGCAAGAGTCACTGGGGCCAGGAGACAGGAGAAATCCAGGTCCTGCCCTGGGCTCCCAGGTGGGCTGGGAAGGCTGGGGGTCAGAGGGCGGGGTGGAGGGTGAACTGACTCTGGAGGAAGCTGCAGGACTCCAGGAGGGAGGGGAGAGTCTTGGAGGGAGTGTTCAGACCGCCTCCTGGTGCCGGAGGCCTTCTGGCCTGTGGGGACCTCGCGACGGAGGCTGGGCCTCACAGGCCGCCTTGCAGCTCAGCCTACGACACGCGGCTGCGCCAGAGGGTGGCGGTGAAGAAGCTGTCGCGCCCCTTCCAGTCGCTCATCCACGCGCGGAGGACGTACCGCGAGCTGCGGCTGCTCAAGCACCTGAAGCACGAGAACGTGAGCTGGGGGCGGCCGGGCCGGGGGTGGGGGGCGCCCGCGGGCCGCCGAGCCCTGACTGCCCTCTGCACCCAGGTCATCGGGCTGCTGGACGTGTTCACGCCGGCCACCTCCCTCGAGGACTTCAGCGAAGTGTGAGCGGCCGTGGCGGGGAGGGCGCGGGGTCGGGGTGGGGACTCTGTGCTCATCCCTGCCGCTACCCAGGTACCTGGTGACCACGCTGATGGGCGCCGACCTGAACAACATCGTCAAGTGCCAGGCGCTGAGCGACGAGCACGTTCAGTTCCTCGTGTACCAGCTGCTGCGCGGGCTGAAGGTGGGCGCGGAAGCGGGGGGCGGGCGGGGGCGCAGGGGGCAGAACCTGACGCCCCCGCCGTCTCCCCCTCGCAGTACATCCACTCGGCGGGGATCATCCACCGGGTAGGTGCCGCGCGCGAGGGGGGGCGTGGGGCTCCTGCGGCGGCGGCGGCGGCTTTGCCTGCGCTCACGCCGCGCCCGCCCTGCAGGACCTGAAGCCCAGCAACTTGGCTGTGAACGAGGACTGCGAGCTGCGGGTGAGCCGCTGGGGGAGGGGCTGGCGGGTCGGCCGGCCGGGAGGCAGAGACCTGGAGGCGCTGACAAGCCTGGCGGTGCCTCTAGATCCTGGACTTTGGGCTCGCGCGCCAGGCGGACGAGGAGATGACTGGCTACGTGGCCACGCGCTGGTACCGGGCCCCTGAGATCATGCTGAACTGGATGCACTACAACCAGACAGGTGATGTCAGTCCGTGTGGGGCAGCCCCCTGGGGCGGGTGGGCCTGGGACCCAGAGGCCAAGGACCTTGGGGGACAGGCCAGGTGGGGGACCTGCCTTCACAAACAGACCTTCAGAAAGGCAGAGCATGGTGGGTCCTGGGCTGACGCTTCCCCCTGCCCAGGGTTGTGTCTAGAGAGGAGGGGCTGCCGGCTTTGGGCCTGCGCGTGAGCGCGGGGCCGCTGGGCTGGCTCAGTGCAGCCAGCCCCCAGCTCTCTGAGGAGGGACTTGGGGTGGGCAGACTGATGGAGACGCCTCCTCCCACAGTGGACATCTGGTCTGTGGGCTGCATCATGGCCGAGCTGCTCCAGGGAAAGGCCCTTTTCCCAGGAAATGACTGTATCCTTGGCGCAGGTTAGGGGTGAGCCAGGGTCTCCTGCTGCGGGGTGGGGGTCGAGGGGGGTGGGCTCTGGCCCTTTCTGGCCAGTCTTGCCCCCTCTGCCCCACACCGTGCCACCTTGGGCTCACTGCTGTCCCCAGCGGCAGGAGAGCATGTTCTGGGCAGTGACCCAAGGTCTGGGGTTTGGGGTCCCGGGGAGAGTCCGTGCTTGGCCGTTGGGCATTTCCTGAGCCAGGCAGACATCGACCAGCTGAAGCGCATCATGGAGGTGGTGGGCACACCCAGCCCTGAGGTTCTGGCAAAGATATCGTCGGAACATGTGAGTCATTGGCCACCAGCCCCCTCTGCTGACCAGCCACTCCCCCGCCCGCACTCTGGAGGAAGGGGCGCTGTGGGGATAGATGGGGCACCACGGGGGGAGCATGGGTCACAGTGGAATAGACCCCAAGGCAGGCGCCGACCCCTTCAGGGGGAAACAGGTGAACTGGGGAGACATTCCAGGCATGAGGGACACTGAGGGTAAAACCTCGGCACATGCAGTGTCCTGGCCGTGGACAGTGGAGAGGCACCAGGCCCGGGACGTGCAGGCACGCAGGGCCAGGCAAGGTGCCGTAGCCACCAGATCCAAAGCGGGGAGGTCTCTGGTCCGCGTATGCCCTTGCCCAGGCCTGCTGGAGAGACTGAGTCTGGGGGCTTCTCCCGGCAGGCCTCTGCCTGGCTTAGGCAGGCGTTGAGCAGCCCCCTCAGGCCCTTCCCCTGTGCTCCTAGGCCCGGACCTACATCCAGTCCCTGCCCCACATGCCCCAGAAGGACCTCAGGAGCATCTTCCATGGAGCCAACCCCCTGGGTGAGGATGGGCCCTGGATCCGGGCTGGGCTCCATGTCTAGCCCTGGCTGTGGAGCTGACCAGCCCTGCACCCCGCCCCTCTGCAGCTGTGGACCTCCTGGGAAGGATGCTGGTGCTGGACAGTGACCAGAGGGTCAGTGCAGCCGAGGCCCTGGCCCATGCCTACTTCAGCCAGTACCACGACCCCGATGATGAGCCCGAGGCCGAGCCCTACGACGAAAGCGTTGAGGCCAAGGAGCGCACGGTGGAGGAGTGGAAGGGTGGGCCTGAGGGCTGTGTCCCCCAGAGGCTGAGCGCTGCCTGTTTTCTGCAGGAAGTGCTCCAGTTTCTCTTGAGAGTGGTCTGAGCGAGGCCACGACAAGGGGGTCAGGTAGAGCTGGGGTTGGGTGTGTCCAGCAGAGGCTTGGGGGCAGCACGGGGCAGGCCCAGGAAGGGGCCCATGGGCCGAGGCTGCTCTCGGAGGGTGGTGGGCCTGGGCTGCTGAAGGCCTGAGCTCACCCTTCCTCCTCCCCTCGCAGAGCTCACCTACCAGGAAGTCCTCAGCTTCAAGCCCCCAGAGCCACCGCAGCCGCCTGGCAGCCTGGACGTTAAGCAGTGAGGGGAATGCGGCTCGCCAGCTGCACTCGGACCCGAGGAGGGGCCTGAGCCCGCCTGCCCTCCCACCTCGGCCCGCCAGACTCCCACAAGGGGCACCTCCCAACACCACTGCGGCCAGCAGCGCCCACCCCTGGCCTGGGACCCTTGTCTACACGCCGCGCCTTGTGGGAAGCCTGCACGTGTGTGAGCCACGGGTGTAGGAGTCTGGATAGAGCATGCTGGACTTCCTTGGTCCTCCTACCCCCTCCCAGCAACCTGGGTCTCTTTTGGGACCTCGCTATGGGGGACCTGGGTGCCATAAGAGCTCCCCCCTGGGGAGTGTGTCTGTTTCCAGATCTCCTGGGTCGCAGAGGGCTGTCTGTGGGGGGCAGTGCCTTGGGGCCGGAGCTCCTGGAGACAAAGGAAGGGGTCTCGATGGTCAGAGCTGCTCAGCCTGGATGTGGGGGGCTACCCTGGAAAGTGCTGAGACTCAAAGGATCTTCCGTGGGGGTGGCAGAGTGGGGACAGCTGCCTGGAGCCGTGTGTTCACCTATGCTGTGCGGCACATATGTGCTCCTGGAATTCACATGTCTAAGTAGACGCAGACGCATGTGAACCTGAGGGCACCTGAGGGCCAGTGGCCATGGCCAGCAGGAGGCCTACTGTTGCCTCCCCTCCCCTCAGTTCCTGGTGTGGGTGGGGAGGGGGCATTGCTGAGATCCTGCTGGGCAGCATGCAAGGGGCTCAGGTGGCCGTGGGCAGCCATGTGAGCAAAAGCCCCCTGCTCCTTGGGTGTGAGGGCTGCAGCAGGGTTCTGAGGCATGAGGGCACTGTGCCAGCTGGGGGGCTGGCAGGCACGGGGGCCTCCAGCCTTGAGGACACACATGCCGATGTGGACCCGGATCCTGGACCTTGGCCCAGAGCTGATGAAGAAGCCTATGCCCACTCTACCTCTGCCCACCCTCTGGCCCTGCAGCCGGGCGCTGGGGCACTCAAGTCTGTGGGTCAGCCCTTGGCCTCTTCCCGCCTTCCGGAGTGGAGTTGACCTAGCGACCTCTGGGACAGGGCCCTGCTCCAGGCGTGTGGGAGGTGTGGGTCCTCCGTCAAGGGGCGTCTGTCAGGTGGTGACCTCTCACCTCGCAGGACCAGGGAGGTCTGAATGCTAAGTGCCTGCCCCAGGGTTTCGCAATAAAGTTCCCCTCTCACCCGGCTTGTGTCTCCAGCTCTAGGTTCTGCTCCCGCGCTGACCCCACTTCCTGGAGAGGGTGGCCATATTCCGCTGGTCCCTGGTCAGAGCAGCCACCTTCACCCTCCCTGCTCCCTGAGGGCCAGTGGGGTCTGAGGTGGACAGGGCATGATGGCCACCAGCAGTCAACCCGCTGCCCTCAGAGTTTCATTGGGCGGGATCTGGCCCAGACCCAGACCTGCCCCTTCACTCAGCGGTCAGCGAGGACGCGGGTCGGGGGTGTTGAGGTCTCTGGGAGCAAAGGCCTGCCCTTCCCCAGGGTCAGGGAGGCAGCTTTCCTTTCCCTCCTGGTTAAGGGGAAAGAGGGCTGCTTCAGCCTCGGGACATACATTGAGCGACCAGCCCCTGCCGCTCACTGCAGCTCAGGCTGGGAAAGCAGGGTATCCCCAGGATGGGGACCTTCTACGCCTTTGCCCTAGGCCCTGGGGGTGGGGGTGGGGATCATCTGGGGGCTGGGCCTGCAGAGGCCTGGTCAGTGTGAGTGCTGGCCCTCAGGTCTTGGAGAACCCCTGGAGATCTGGCTGGGCCAAGTCCTGTGGGGGTGGGGTGGGGGATGGGAGCAGAACTGGGACATGCCGCATCTGGGAGTCTGGCCTGATGCAGGACCTTTCTGGACCTCTGGACCCCATCACAGGGAGTAAGGGGGCCAGCTGGGGGCTTCCTGGAGGAGGCAGGTGGAGTGCCACAGGCGGCCCAGGGCATGAAGGGCACGGGGATGGGCGGTTGTGGCTCCAGTGACACCAGGCTGCCCCCACTGACAAGCCTGCAACTCCTGAGCACCCCGATCAGATCACCGCGCGGCCCAGCTGTAAAGCTGCTCTGGCCAGGCCGGAGCTGCTGAGCTGCTGATTCGTGGTGCAAGGCACAGAGGGCGGGGCAGGGGGCCCTGGGGATCTTATTACCCCACTCTCAGGTCTGGGTCACAGGGCTGGGGGCTCTGTCGTCCAGCAGCATCTGGTCCAGGATGGGCCAGACCCCTGAAATGATGATGTCCCCACCTAAGGGTAAGGGGGCACCCACCGAGCGAGCCCCAGTAGGGCCCCCCTTCAGCCCTGGGGTCAGGCACACCTCCCTGGAGAGAGTGGAGAAGTTCGAGCTGGGCTTTGAAGAGCACACCTGAGGGCCTCAGCTGAGCAGGGGTGGGACAGGCAGAGGGACGTGCAAATCTCCGGAGCAGTCTCCACCCAGACGTGCAGTGAGGAAGAGCCTTCAGAGCACAGGGGCCCAGGGGGACCTACAAGACCCACCCTCTCTGCTTCCGGCTTGGTAGGCAGTCTGAGTTTGGGAGACAGAATCAACTTCTTCACTGGGAAAGGGGGATGGAAGCAAGATAGGGGCCGGGGAACCCCGTACTGGGGGGTGGATGGGTCAGCCCCAGGGTGAAGGTCGTCCTGCGGGGTGGGGAGTTGGAAGTGGGCGGGACTGGTGGTCAGTGATTTGCGGTTGGGGGTAGCAATCGACGAGCTCAGGCTGCCAGGATGGGCCAGTGCCCTGGGGGCGCGGTCGTGAGGAGGAGGCGCGAGCCCCACGAGGCCCCGCTGACACAGCCTCCACTCGGGTCCGCGTAGTTCATCCCGAGTGCGGAGTGCGGAGGAGGGCCGGGGTCTCGGGCGCCGCGTCTGGGTCTAGGATGGGACAGAGCTGCCAAGCGGCGCTCTCCTTCCCCCAGCCTCCGGCTTCCCAGGCGGCGGCCGCCGCCTCATGTTTCCGGAGGGGCAGAAGGGCGGAAGGGGCGTCACGTGCGCGCGGCCCGGGGGCCGGTTGGTCCGTCCGCAGGGGAGGGGCCTCGCGCTAGCCGGGCGGGGGCTGGGCGCGGGCCGGGGTCGGCGGCTCCGGAGAGCCCGGACGCGAAAGCCGGCAGCGGGGTGCCCCGGCGACGGCGCGGAGCCGGCTCTGCCCGCGCGGCGGTGGCCCGGGGTGCGCGCCAGGGCGTCTCACGGATCCCGGGTCCCCGGCCCTCGAGGCGAAGCGCCCGCGGGGTCCGCGGCGGGGGCGGTGCCCGGCCAGCCATGAGCTCTCCGCCGCCCGCCCGCAAGGGCTTTTACCGCCAGGAGGTGACCAAGACGGCCTGGGAGGTGCGCGCCGTGTACCAGGACCTGCAGCCCGTAGGCTCGGGCGCCTATGGCGCCGTGTGGTGAGCACAGGCCGGGCGGGGTGGCCGGGGGCTTGGTGGCCCGGGCCTCCCGCTAAGCGGTGCGCCCCGCAGCTCGGCGGTGGACAGCCGCACGGGCGCCAAGGTGGCCATAAAGAAGCTGTACCGGCCCTTCCAGTCCGAGCTGTTCGCCAAGCGCGCCTACCGCGAGCTGCGCCTGCTCAAGCACATGCGCCATGAGAACGTGAGTCGCGCGGTCCCCAGCTCCGGGCACCGCGTCCATCATCTCACCTCTGCTCATCTCCCTTCTCCCCCCAAACCGTGCCCCGAAGACCCGGTCCCTCCTACCCAGCCCCTGGGCTGCTCCCCTGGGTGGCGGGGCGGGCGGAGGCGAGGGGTCAGGCAGTGTCCCCGGGGGGGGGCGGGGCTGGTCACAGTGGTGAGGGCCGAGCCCCGCTTCGTCCTAAGAGAGCTGCTTCCCCGGGGTCTAGTCCGCTCCGCCTGGGCCAGTCCCGGGAAGGACTTAGCTCTTTGGCTTCTTGCTGGAGCCCCATCTGGCTCCTCGGCCCAGGGTCTGGTCAGGGGACAGCCACTTGCCCAGGCCGAGGGGATCCTCCAGGTCTCACTCCAAACCCTGCCTCCAGCCAGGAGCCCCGAGGTGAGAGAGAACTTCAGGTGGGAGGAGCGGTTTTCCTGGAAGGGGCACTTAGCCTCTCCCAGGCACCCCCCCTGCCGCCCCACCCGGCCCCCCTCCTGCAGTTCCTTTCCTGACCCCACTCCACCTCCTGAGCCGCAGCAGCCCCTCAGCAGCTGGGTGCCGCCACCTCCCTCCAGTGCTGCATTTCATAAACCCCTCTTCCCGTAGGAGGTAGGCTCTGAGAGGCTGAGGTCCCAGTCCTCCTGCCCCTTCTGTGCCCACTTCAGGCCTCCTCCCCCCCCACCCCACGCCGTGCAGAGGCCCAGAAGTCTCCACCAACCGGGTGGACCCCCATTTAACTTCCAGGATTCTTGCTAAAACCTCCCGATGCCCGGGCCTCACCTGCCTCCAGGCCTCTCTCTGGATGTCCCACTGTTCTCTCCTCCCGCCACCCATGTCTCTGGCCGTGGTGGCTGTTCCTGCACCTCGTGTCCACTGTCACCTCACTCCAGTTTGTCCCCGTATAGTAGCCAGGGGACACATTCAGCATCACACCTATTTAAACTCTTTTTGCCGAAGCTCCTAGGATCAAAGCAAGCCTTCACCAGGTGCTGCGGGCGTGCTTGGGTTTTCTTTGGCTTCTCTTTGGCTGCGTCGTGGCCTGGTCCTCGGCCACCTGGCCTCTCTCCCCGTATTCCTCAAGCGCTCCGAGCGTTCTGCGTCCTGCCCGGCCACCATTCGCATGGCCTCTGCCAGGTGTCCCCCTGCCAGCACATCCACCTGTGCCTCCAGCCACTCTGATGTGCAGGCCTCCTGGGGTCCCTGGAGGCCCTGTCACCAGAAGCCCCAGGTGCCAGTTGTCACACTCCCCGTCTGCTGTCCAGCGAGGGCTGCGGGGCCGGCTGTGGCTGCCGGTGTGCTCACAGGGCTGCCTGCCTGGGCCTCTCTGGCGGAGGCACGGCCCCTGGAAGGGCCTGCTAGATACTGGCTGTCCCCACACTGTTCCTGGGTCTTCAGTGGGGATAGGAAGAGGGGGAGGAAGGGCCAAGGGGCTGGAGCTCCTTGGATGGCTGGGAGCTGACCCAGACTTGGGGCTGCCCCTCCCCCAAAGGATCCCGGCTGTCACCATCCAAAAATAGCCCTTGTTTATGGGCATGTGTGCCAGGGCAGGGTTGAGCTGCCAGTGGGCAGAGCAGGGCCCTGTGGGCAGTGGGGGGAGACCAGGACAGCTGCAGGGGCCTTTCCTGCCCAGAGCAGGGTGTGCCCTCAGCTGTATCTGTGTCCCCAGCCCACCTGGTGCTCTGGCCTCCTCCCCAGGTAATTGGGCTGCTGGATGTGTTCACACCCAATGAGACCCTGGATGATTTCACAGACTTGTGAGTGCCGGCCAGGGGCTGGCCGGGCAGAGCAGGTGGTGTTGGGTGGCTCTTGGGTGTCCACTTCAGCTTTGGGGTTGGCAGGTGGGCCGCCTGAGGCAGGCCTTGCCTTGCAGCCTGGATGGGCGTCAGGTGCACACTGCCCACCCGCTCACCACACCGCAGTCCACCCCCTGCCACATGCCCCAGGGACCCACGGTGCTGGTACCACTGGGTGGATCTGGGCCTCCTCCTCCAGTGCCGGAGGTGTGAGCCTCGTACCTGAGGGTTTGTGAGTGGGTCCTGTGCTCTGGAACCCTGGCGCTAAGAGTGTGGCCTGTAACTGGAGCTGCTGACCTTTGCCGGCGGGTTGGGGGGGACCCAGTGCTGCCCTGTGCCTGCCCGGGTGGCCACCCGTGGCCTCACACTCCTGTTGGCCAAGAGCCAGGGGCCTGGCCCGGGGTGGGGGGCAGGACAGGCTCGTTGCCTGACCTGGCAGGGGTCAAGGACTCATGCTGGCGGGGTGCTAAGCACCTCTCTCTGTGTCTCCGTCCACCTGCCCAGCCTGCTCCTCTGACCCAGATGTCCTGCTGTCACACCCCTGCCCACAGGCACTTCCCTCCTTTCTCACGCCCCCGCCCCTGCCTATGAGCCTTGGTCTCCCAGCCCCTAGGCCACCCTCCAGGAGTCCCCAAAGCGCAGTCCCGACCTGCCTGGCATCGCAGGGCCCGGTGGGTGGTAGGAGGGTAGAGCCCAGTGCAGTGCTGTGGGGGGTGGGGACTGGGTGCTGCAGGGTGACAGGCTCTTCCAGGGCCTGAGCCCAGGCCCACGGGCGTGACCCCAGCTGTCTGGCCCCTCCCTGACCCCGCAGTTACCTGGTGATGCCGTTCATGGGCACCGACCTGGGGAAGCTCATGAAGCACGAGAAGCTGAGTGAGGACCGAATCCAGTTCCTCGTCTACCAGATGCTCAAGGGGCTGAAGGTGGGGACTTGGGGTGCTGCCAGAGTGGGTGGGGTCCCCCTAGGCGGGGCTGGGGCTCTGACGTTCCTGCGAACTGACTGCTGCTGACCCCTCTGTGTCCCCACAGTACATCCATGCTGCTGGCATCATCCACAGGGTGAGTCCTGGCCAAGGTGGGCGCTTCCCCTGGCTGTGGGCGCGCGAGGGGCTCCACCTTTGGGGCTTCCTGTCTCACCCGCGAGGGGGCACCCTGCCTGCCCACAGCCCGGGGGCTGTGCACCTCCACCCTTCCTGGAAGGGCTGCAGGGTGGCCCGGCCTAGCCCGATGCTCCCACATTCAGTTGCTGCTCGGGCCCTTGCCCTTGCGCCCTGGCGGGCGGGGCTGCACAGCCACCTTTCTTCTGCCCCCAGGACCTGAAGCCCGGCAACCTGGCCGTGAACGAGGACTGTGAGCTCAAGGTGTGTGTTGGGTTGGGGGCTCGGGGCCTCCCCCGCACCTGCCCATCTGCCCGCCGGCCCCTTGGCCCTCAGGCCTGGAGGCGGACTGGCCCAGGCCCAGGCGGAGGGACAGACCACAGCTATCCAGGCAGTGGCCGAGCAGCTGATGGGCAGATGGGCCCTGGGGAGGCACTGGGTGGGGTGGCACGGGGGCATACCTGCTTGAGGGGAAGGGCGGGCGGTGTCCCCAGCTCCCCGTGCCCGAGCCAGGGCAGGGCTGAGCAGGCCTTCCTAAAAGTGCTGGCTGGGGCCCGGCGGTTCACAGGGAGCGGAGGTCCAGGGGCAGGAGACCCCCCCCAGGGTGCCTGTTGTAAGGGTCGGGGGCAGGCACAGTCGGTTGCGCTGGGTGCACTGGCTGTGGGGAGGAACCCGCAGGGAGGCTTAGGGGTACCTGGCTGCGACCTCGGGCCCCAGAGGCTTGGCAGGAGGCCCCGGTGTGCCCAGTGCCCTTGGGGTCTTCTGGCCCACGGCTGGCCCACCCACTCCCCAGGGACCGCTTTGCCCCACTTTCTGATTCTGGCTGTAGATCCTGGACTTTGGCCTGGCCCGGCAGGCAGATAGCGAGATGACTGGGTACGTGGTGACCCGGTGGTACCGGGCGCCTGAGGTCATCTTGAATTGGATGCACTACACACAGACGGGTGAGGCGCTGCCCGGAGACGCGGCACCAGGTTCCCCGAGCTGCTCTGCGGGGAGGCTGCTGAGCTGGGCCGGGGCTGGGCAGGGCGTGGTAGGCTAGATGGCTCCTGGGCCCATGCCCCCCTCCGCCGCCCCCACTCCTGCGTCTGTGTGTGCCCGGCTCCCCAGCCCACAGAGCCCTGATGGAGGGGCTTCTGTCTCAGTGGACATCTGGTCAGTGGGCTGCATCATGGCTGAGATGATCACAGGGGAGACGCTCTTCAAAGGCAGCGACCGTATCCTATACCTGGAGCTGGGTGCGGGGGAGGCTTGCCCTACACCTGGAGCTGGGTGCGGGGGAGGCTTGCCCTACACCTGCGGGGAGCAGGCCAGGCGCACTGCCCGGGCTGGGTGGGTAGGTGAGCTCTGCCCTACACCTGGAGCTGGGTGCGGGGGAGGCTTGCCCTACACCTGCGGGGAGCAGGCCAGGCGCACTGCGCGGGCTGGGTGGGTAGGTGAGCTCTGCCCTCTGGCCCCGCGCTGTGCTCCTGACCTCAGCCAAGACCTGGACCAGCTGAAGGAAATCATGAAGGTGACGGGGACGCCTCCCGCCGAGTTCGTGCAGAGGCTGCAGAGTGCCGAGGTCACTTGGGAGCCAGGCGTGAGCTGGAGGCCTGGGTCTGGGCCTGGGGGCCGGCGCCTCACCCTTTCTTCCCACACAGGCTCAGAACTACATGAATGGCCTCCCCGAGCTAGAGAAAAAGGATTTTGCCGCCATCCTGACCAACGCAAGCCCTCTGGGTAGGGTGGGGCTGCGGTGGGCACGGGGTCAGTGATGTGGGTACCGGGGCCTGGGACCCGCCCCTCAGCCTGGCCTGACCCCCCCTTCCCCCAGCTGTGAACCTCCTGGAGAAGATGCTCGTGCTGGATGCGGAGCGGCGGGTGACGGCGGCCAAGGCGCTGACCCACCCCTACTTCGAGTCGCTGCACGACACGGAGGACGAGCCCAAAGCTCAAAAGTACGATGAATCCTTTGATGACGTGGACCGCACGCTGGAAGAGTGGAAGCGTGAGTGGGGGGCTCTGGGCAGGGCCTGTGGCTGGACCCCACCAGCCCCGTGCAGGTGGCCAGGGCTCAGAGTCCTGGGTCCCCCCCACCCTGGGATGCAGGTTAGGTGAGGCACACAGTGGAGGTCAGAGGGCAGCTGGGCTTCCGGGCCAAGGCGACCTGAGCACTTGGCCTCTCCCGGCCCCCAGGCCTGCCAGCGTGCCTCCCCACGTCTAGGCCAGAGGCCGGGCTACCCTGGAGACCCTCAGCACCCACTCCCCCAGGCCTCTGCTCATACCTCTTGAATCTTCTGGCCTCTGTGTCCCTTTCAGGACCCCTCCTACCTAGACAGCTGCACACCCCTCGTCCTGCCAGCAGGATCAGGCCCACTCCAGGCAGTCCATAGCACCTCCCCCTTCCTCACTACCCCTCGCCCGTCCCCTCTAGCCCCACTGAGCACTTCAGACCTCCCTCTACCTGTGCTCTGCATCTCCAGGCTTTGCATTGGCCTGGAAACCGAGGGCCCCTCTCTCCTTCTCTGAGGGCTCCCGACACCTGCTCAGCCTGAGGCTGGGCTCAGGGACGCCTGCCCTTTACAGTCCCCGGGCCTCCCTCTGCTGGGGCCCTGACGCCCCATGCTGGAACGGGCCTTGTCTAGCTCCATTCTGGCATGGCAGGCATCTTTTCTCGGTGGCTGCGGGACCCCCCTGGGGGAGCAGGGACGTCTGAGGGCAGCAGTCAGCGCCGACGGAGCTGTGGCACTGGTTGCCACTGTCCTAGACCCCGTTCTGGCTGTGCCTCAGACCTGGGGCCGCGGTCCTGGATGTGGGGGGTAGAGGTGGGGCTGGACGGGTTGTGCTTCTCAAACCACATTCTTCAGGGTCATCGGGGAGTCCCAGCAGCGGCTCTGCCCTTATCTGTGCTGTGTTTTGTGCTTGTAAGTTCTCTGTTGCTAGAAAGATAACAAGAAAACCGAAAACCATGGGCCACAGGATCCTCTCTGCGGTCTCCGCCACAAACTGTAGTAAGAGCTTTTGCTTTTTACTACAGACGGTGGCGGACATGTGGTCTGTTTGTGGTTGAGCCCCTGGTCAGGAATGCAAACTCATCACCTCCTGTTTCCCCGGGAAAAGCCAGCTTTACAGCAAGGACCTCTCTGTACAAACCTTCCCTGTGTGGATGGGCCCCTGCACCAGGGTTAGATGACGGCCTGGGAGGCACCTCACGGGGTAGCAATACAACTGTGCCGTGTGCTGGGCAAACCACACAGACCACCTGCTCTAAAGGCACAGTCCTTCCTGAACTGGGCTTGTGGAGTACCAGTGGTCCCCCAAACGCGCGTTCCTGTGGCCAGGTGAGCGTGGGCACCCTGGGGTAGGTGGAGCGGAACCGTCCTCTTGCAGGCTGGTCGGAGGGGAGGCGGGGCAGCACCCCCCTTCCTTTGGGACGGCTCGCTCTGGGCAAGGTTCAGGAAACACGAGCACCGGCGAGGAAGCTGGATGCTGCAGGCAGTTGGTGGCAATTCCACACTCGTTTATTAATTAATTAATTAATTTCTGGCTGCATTGGGTCTTCGTTGTTGGTCTTAGTTGCTGCGCGCAGGCTTTCTCTAGTTGCGGCGAGCAGGGGCTACTCTTCGTTGCATTGTGAGGGCTTCTCATTGTGGTGGCTTCTCGTTGCAGAGCTTGGGCTCTCGGCCTGTGGGCTTCAGTAGTTGTGGCACGTGGGCTCAGTAGTTGTGGCTTGCGGGCTCTAGAGTGCAGGCTCAGTAGTTGTGGCGCATGGGCTTTGTTGCTCCGCAGCATGTGGGATCTTCCTGGACCAGAGGTCAAACCCATGTCCCCTGCATTGGCAGGCGGATTCTCAACCACTGTGCCACCAGGGAAGTCCCCATACTCGTTTCATAGATGTTCTGGATCCAGAAGCTGCGGTGTGCCCTCGTGGGACCCTGAGCAACTCCACTCAAGTGAACACATTGGTTTACATTCCTCAGATGTTCTCTGTTCACTGAGGCAGGCTGTGGAGCCAAGGCCACCCTAGGGGCCGTGGGTGTGGGTTGCAGGAGCCCTGTCAGGGTGGACAGTCCCTGTGGATGGACACAGGTGGACTTGCACATGTGGGACAAAGGAGTCCACCTGGTGCCTGAACCCCAGCGGTGGTCTCTGACCCTGTTAATTTGGGGGACGGGCGGGCCCCCTAGTTCAGTGACTAACAGCCTGTGCTCTGGGCCTCCGCTCTCCACCCCCACCCCAAGTGGAATCTCATGGGACTTAACGCTGGTCCCCGTGAGCACCAGTGAGCTGGGCCCAGTGCTTCGTCTTGGTCACTGGCGTCCATCCTTGGTGTGCACTGTGGAGCTGTGATGGGTGATGGGCCCCTTCTCCCATGACTCTGTCCCTCTCATCCTGCCCCAGGTGTCACATACAGAGAGGTGCTCAGCTTCAAGCCTCCCCGACAGCTGGGGACCAAGGTCTCCAAGGAGACGGCCCTGTGAATACCCCTGGGCCCTGGGCCTGGAAGGGAGATCCTGTTTGCCACTGGGACCTTGGCTGGGGCTTGCATCCCAGGAGTCCCCTCGATCCATGGAGCCTCTTCTGGAAGCCTGTTCCCCTGCTCTCAGAGCCCACCTCAGCCTAACCTTGGAGGAGCATCTGGACTTTCTGGACAGGACGCCCACCTGGGCTCTGACCCCCTGAGCAGTGGTCCCCTCCCCCAGGGTGCAGCAGAAGCCTCAGAACCTGTGGGGTGGGATGGGGTTTGGGGTCAAAGCCTAGTCTCTGACCCTGTCTGCTCTGGACTGTGCTGAAAAGGAAGGACGGGAGGGTGCAGAGCACTGACTCAGGGACATGTCTCCTGGGGGCGTTGGTGTGGACGCTTCTGTACCACCCCCCTTAAATGTACATTGGCCACGTGGTATGGCCACACGGCTGGAGGAAATAAACCCTTTTGTAGCTCCCACTCTGCTTCACTTCCTGATTTCTGGGCTGGATCTCCACCTTTAGGCTTTTGTATGGAGTAAGGGGGCTGGCCTGGGAGCCTCAGCCCCATCTTGAGCCACTGGGCCTGGGCACCTCCTCCCTCCCAGGTCACAAAGCTGGTGCCCACCTACACCCCCGTCCTGTGCCAGTGAGCCCCAAGTCTGGAGCCCCCCACGTTAGGACTTGGCCCTGCCCCTCTTGTGGGGTGGCCTTCCTCTAAGCTAAGACCCTGGAGTCAGACCCAGGGCAGGGCCTGATGGGGGTGAGGGGGTTAGGGTCCAGCTCGGGTCTCAGCCCCAGGTGTTTGGGCTCCCTACACTCTCCAAGGCCAGGTTCTTGGGGAGGTGGGGTCACGCTAGACGCCGCGAGGCACCTCGGGTGTCTCTGAGACGTCTGTGCCTTAGCAGAAGGGTGGTTTCTGTGCTCTTTTTCCTGCCCCTCCCCCGTCATGCCCCACCGCCATTGGCGAGCCCGCGGGGCCCTCTGACGGCCATTCGACGTCTCCGAGGACTGGCAGCTGGGTCAGGGGCCACTCTAGGGCTCCTGCGCCCGCCCTGGCTCCTCCCACCTGTCCCCCGGCAGGCGCGCCCAAAGCGGGGCCAGGCCGTCACCCTTCTCCCGGCCTGGGGCTCAGATGGACGCACCCAGTTGGTTCAGCCGAATACGGTCAGACGAGTTGCCAGAGTAGGTACCTGCCTTCTCTGCCCAGGGGCCCTCCCGCGCCTCTGACGGAGCCCCGCCCGGATCCCCGGCTCTCAGCGATCCAGGCGGGGCGGTCTGGCGCAGGCCCCGCCTTCGCGGCCACGTGCCCAGGACGGCCAATCAACACGCTGTTTTCCAGCCGCCGTGATTGGCTCAGGGGCGGGCACGTCTTCCCAGAGCCCCGCAGGCCGCCGGCTACCCGCACCAGCAGGTATCCTGGCCAGAACGGTGGCGATCCACGCGGGGCTGCTTGCCGCGGGCAGCGGGGCCCTGTCAAGGCCTCCCTCTGCATCCATCCCACCTTGGGGATCGCCCCCGAACAGCCGGGGCGACCAGAGAACGGGACTGGGGCACGCCCGCCCCAGGGCCCCACTTCCCAGACTTCAGGGCCCCTGCTCACGTCCCGCCTCCAAGAGACCCGCCTCCAGGGCTCCGCCTCCAAGACCGGGAACCCAACCCGCGGCGGCCCCGCCTCGAAGATGCCCGCCTTCCCAGACACCCCCACCCCCCCAGGAACCGCCCCCCATCCAAGCCCTGCCTCAAAAGGGTCCGCCCGGGCCCCGCCTCCAAGACCAGACTCCGCCCATGTCTCCGTCCCCAAAGACCCGCGGGGTCCCCCCCGACCCCGGCTCAGTCCCCAGAAATCCCCTCCGTTTGAGGCCGGGGGCTCCCTGTTTCCTCCCCTCTTTGGCCATCTTGGTCTTGGCTGGGCCCGCGCCTCCTCCTTTACTGGCCTCATTCGTTCTCTCACTCATTCATCCCTCGCCCAGACACTCCCTCTGTTGGCCTCCGCCCTGCCTACCCCGACGCTGCGCCGCTCCTGTCCAGCTTCTCTGCCTGACCCTCCGACTCGTCCGCTCTTCGGTCAGGGGTCTTCCTGGAGCTTAAATCGGATACTGTCATTCCCTCCTTGAGCCTTGGGGGCAGCGCTGCGCTGCGGCCCAGGCCGGGCTAAGCCACGACTACCGTCCCCGGTCGAGGCTCTCTCCTTGTGGCCTTGCCCCTAAGGACCCTCGGCCTCGCGATCCTTCCCGCGCAGCTCCTCCCTGAGCCCTTGCTGGGGGTCCTCGGTCAGCGCTGGGCGCAATGGGCTACTGACGCGTCTGACCCGTGGCCTGCGGGGTCAGGGTGGGCCTGCGGGGTCAGGGTGGGCCTGGGGGAGGCTTGGGGAGGGGGGGGCACGGACCCGCGTGGCTCGGCTCATAGCACGCAGGTGAGGCCGCCGTGACGGTCCGCAGGAGCCTGGGCACACTGGCCCTCCGTCCTCGCACCAGTCCCCTCCGACTTACGCAGGGGCGCCGAGGCCGGCGACCCTCTCCGGGCTCCGGCGAGAGTAGGAGGTGGAGCCTCAGCTGGAGGGAAAGGCGGCGTGGGCAGAACCCCGAGGGGCCCAGTCTTCGGCCCGCCCCGCTGCATCGGGGCGGGGTTTGGGGCAGCCGGAGGCGGGTCCATGCCAGGTCCGAGTTGGAGGAAGCCGGAAGCCGAGCCCCGCGAGCCACCCTATCGAACCCTGCCCCGCTCTGGCGCCAGCCGGATCTGGGGCCTCCTTCCTGTCCGGGCTCCGCGCCCGCGTCCCCGGCTGTGCTCCAGGCGTTGGGCTGCTCCCTGGGGCTGCCAAGGGGGGGCGGGCAGTGCACTCACCTACCTGTGAGTGGTAGTGTTTGGGTCCTGCCCACCCTGAGTGGCCCAGAGTGACCACGGTCAGGCCATGGGGACCGCACTTGTGTACCACGAGGACATGACAGCTGCCCGGCTGCTCTGGGACGAGTAAGTGGGACATGGCAGAGGCAGAGGCGGGGGATGAGGAGGGGCTCTGGACTCTGAGCTCTCTGTCCATTCAGCCCCGAGTGCGAGATCGAGTGCCCGGAGCGCCTGACCACAGCCCTGGAACGCCTGCAGCAGCGTGGCCTGGAGCAAAGGTGTCTGCAGCTGGCAGCCCGGGAGGCCTCGGAGGCGGAACTGGGCCTGGTGCACAGGTCAGACTTGGGGTGGGCCCCCTGCCCCTGAAGCTGTGGTCCAGGACCTGGGCCTGCCCCAGCCTGCTGGAGCCTGGCAAACAGAGCCTACCCCCCCAAGCCTCAGTTTCACCGTTGGATGGGTGGGTGAGGGAGCAGTGAGGGGGGTGGTCCCACTGGGGGTCCAGATCCCGTTTCTCCTCCGCCTGCTCCTCCAGGTGACCCTGCCTTGCCTGCCTAACCCCTTTGCAGCCCGGAGTATGTGGCCCTGGTGCGGGGGACCCAGGCCTTGGGCACCGGGGAGCTCCAGACCCTGTCTGGACAGTACGATGCCGTCTACTTCCACCCGGTGCGTGCCCTGGGGACACACCCACCCACCCAGTCACACATCCGGGTACTCGTGCCTGTTCACACGGGCAATGTTCCCGTGTGCCAGTGCCCTTCTGGCTGCTGCTGCGGGCACCCGGGACTGGCCTGGCCAGTTCTGCTCAGTGCTTGGTGCCCTGCAGCCTGGCACAGGGCTTGGTAGAGCCTGTGAGGGGTAGTGGGCAGGGGGCTTACCTGCACCCTCGCCCTGGCAGAGTACCTTCCACTGTGCCCGGCTGGCTGTGGGGGCGGCGCTGCAGCTGGTGGATGCAGTGCTGGCGGGAGCTGTGCGCAACGGGCTCGCCCTGGTGAGGTGAGAGCTGCCCCCTTCCCTGGCCGCCTCGACCTGTGGGTAGCCCTGTGAGGACGCAGGATGACGCTGACACGCCCCATACCCCACTCCCACCCCCAGGCCTCCTGGGCACCATAGCCAGAGGGCTGCCGCCAATGGATTCTGCGTGTTCAACAACGTGGCCATAGCGGCCAAACATGCCCAGCGGCAGCACGGGCTGCACAGGTTTGTGCCCGTCTGACTGCAGGGTGAGGCCCAGGCCAGAGAGGAAGGGGGTGGAGGGGGCCTTTGAGGGACCCCACCCAGCTCCTTCCCATCCTGGGCCTGGCTCCTGGCCTGGAGGTGGGAGGCCCTGCCCTCGGGGACCCCAGAGCTGTCTGTCCCCAGGATCCTCATCGTTGACTGGGATGTCCACCATGGCCAGGGCATCCAGTATATCTTTGAGGACGACCCCAGGTAAGCTGGGGGTGGGGACAAGACCCTCCCCTGCGACCCTACTTTTCAGGATGAGCATTGCCCGGCCTGGGAAAGTCTGAGGGAGCAGACGTGGCTGTGTGCTCGGTGGGGTGCGGTTAGGCTTCTGCAAGGAGCCCTGGGGCTGAGGGGCCTGCCCTCTGGCCCCGGCTGACTGTCGCAGCGTCCTTTATTTCTCCTGGCACCGCTATGAGCACGGGCGCTTCTGGCCCTATCTCCGAGAGTCAGATGCAGACGCTGTTGGGCAGGGCCCGGGCCTTGGCTTCACTGTCAACCTGCCCTGGAACCAGGTGCCTGCCCCTCACCCTGGGCCCCCCACCCAGAGCCCCTCCCCCAGCTCACATTCCTCCCTCCCCCGAGTGCAAGCCCAGGGCGTCATGCCACGATCACCCCCAGAGCCCAGGCCCCAGGGGTGAGGACCCCGCCGTCCTCCCTGGCAGGGCCAGCACTGATGCCCCTTGGCCACAGGTCGGGATGGGAAATGCTGACTACGTGGCCGCCTTCCTGCACGTGCTGTTGCCTGTGGCCTTTGAGGTGACCGTGAGGGGGGTGGAAGCGGTCTCAGTGGCAGGGGGCTGGGGGCGATGCGGTGCCCAAAGTGGAACAGAGCCCCTGGGGTGAGGAGGGTCTCTCTGGAGGGGCCTCTCCTCCGCCTCAGCTCCAGCTTCTTTTCTGCCTCTCCCCACCGGGCCCTGCCTGCAGTTCAACCCTGAGCTGGTCCTAGTCTCCGCGGGATTTGACTCAGCCATCGGGGATCCTGAGGTGAGGACCTGGCCGGGCTGGGGAGGGCTTCTGGAGTCCTGGGGCCAGGGCCTCATCACACCTGGTTCTGGTTGCAGGGACAGATGCAGGCCACGCCAGAGTGCTTTGCCCACCTCACGCAGCTGCTGCAGGTGCTGGCTGGTGGCCGGGTCTGCGCTGTGCTAGAGGTGATTGTGGCGAGCTGGGAGGGTGCATGCACCGGAGCCTGAGATGTGGTTGGAGGGGTCCTGCCTCGTGGGGCAGGGCATCCTGCCTGGGCCCCTGACACCCCTGCCCTTCGTGTCTCTGCCCCCTCCTTATCCCAGGGTGGCTACCACCTGGAGTCACTCTCACAGTCCGTGTGCATGATGGTGCAAGCGCTGCTGGGCGACCCTGCCCCGCCCCTGTTGGGGCCCATGGTGCCGCATGGCAGGTGCAGGGGGCAGGACGGAGGAGGGTGGGGAGGGCCAGGGGTGGGAGACCAGGCCTCACTGATCCTGCTTCTCCTCGCAGCGCCCTGGAGTCCATCCAGAGTGTCCGGGTAGCCCAGGGCCCTCACTGGATGAGCCTCCAGCAGCAAGGTCAGCGTGGCCTGGGTCGGCAGGTGGGATGGTGCCGCAGGCTCTCGTGCAGTGGCTGTGACACTGAACCACCCCCTAGGTGTGGCCCCTGTACTGAGTCCCAGCCCCCACTCCCCAGAGGGGAGGCCCTCGTCTCTGCTGCTGACCGGGAGGCCCGAATTCAAGGCAGCAGCGACCCAGGACGTGGCTGCCCTGAGCTCCCTCTTGGACCAGCCGCGCCTCAATCCCACGCCCCCTGTACGCACGGCTGTTGCCTTGGCTGCGCCAGATGCTGCCCTGGCCCTGCCCTCTGACGTCCTCTGTGAGGAGGGGTCAGCCCCACAGGAGGAGACGCAGGCCTGGGCCAGGTGGGCAGGGTGGGCCTGGGGAGAAGCCCGGGACCATGTCTGCACATGTGTCTGTGTGACTCACCTGTGGTCTGTCATTCTGTGTCCTCGTGTCCTTCTGGTTTGTCCACCACAGGCCACATGAGGCCCTGGCCCAGGACAGGGCCCTCACTGCACTCGGGAAAGTCCTGTACCTTTTGGACAGGATCCTGGATGGGCAGGTAAGGGCACTGGGGAGGGGCTGGGGGGTGGCCATGGAGTCAGGGGCAGGGCCCAGGACCTGCCTGCGACAGGTGGCCTGTCCAGGGGAGGGCTGGGTGGTACAGAACCATGTGGACATGAGCATTGCCTTGTGCCCAGGACCCTTCCCAAAACAGCCCCCAGGGGCAGGGTTCAGGAACACCCCCCCTCAGTTCTCTCAACGAAATGCCCTTTGGCAGAGAAGTGAAGGGGATGATTTATAGTTTTATGCATCTTAGTTTCAGAAATGGAGTAATTAGACCTCAGAGTGCACAGGTGACAGCCACGTAGACACGGGCCAAAAGAAGGGGCAGATGAGTTTGTTTACCTGGTTTGGGAGTTACCCTCTACACCTGTTATTCACTTCACAGGTGAGCAGTGGCATTGCAGTCACCCCAGCCTGTGCTGCAGCTGCCACCCTGGATGTGGCCATTCGGTGTGGCCTGTCCCACGGAGCCCAGAGGTAAGCCTCACATGGCTGGTCTGAGGCTACGAGGCAGGGCCCATGGGCACCCCCTGCCCTGGCTGGCCATGTGGGAGTGGCTCTGGGCATGGGCTCCAGGCGGGGTGAGTGCAGCTTACCCAGGAGCCAACTCTTCCTCCAGGCTGCTTTGTCTGGCTGTGGGGCAGCTGGATCGGCCCCCAGATCTCACGGATGACGGGTATGACTCTCAGGTCACGGGTATGTCCAGTTCTGCAAGTATGTGGGTGGGCACATCACCCTGGATCCCCAGGGGTGACAGGTGGGCGGGGCGTTCCGCAGCTGGAGTTTGGCAGAAGGGCCCCTGGGAGCAATGCCAGGAGGGTCTCCAGCACAGAGGGTCAGCAGTCTTAGCATCCCTGCCCCTGAGCTGTTCTTCTTCTGTCCGGGCTCTCGACGGTGGGCGGCATCTCACACACAAGCTCATGTATCCATATGCTTGCTCTCCCCTGGAAGGAGGAATCTATGGCTGAACATTGGGGGCAAGGAGGCAGCTGCCCTGTCCATGTTCCACGTCTCTGTGCCACTGCCAGGGGTGAGTGGTGGTGTCACAGGGCAGGGCAGCTGCTGCTCACTGGCATCGATCGGCATGAGGGCCAGACCCCTGGCTTTCACCTGCCCTTCCTGGCGGGACTGTGGGTGTGTCCGCCCACCTGAGATTGGGAGGTGGGGTGGTCTGAGCCAGCTGGAGGGGTGTTCCCTGGATGAGGGGTTGGGCTATGCTGCTGTCCCTCCCACAGACGACTGGAGGGTTTCTGAGCTGTGTCCTGGCCCTGGTGCTGCCCCTGGCCTACAGCTTCCAGCCTGACCTGGTGCTGGTGGCGCTGGGGCCCGCCCATGGCCTGCGGGACCCCCAAGCTGCACTCTTGGCTGCGCTGCTTCGGGGCCCAGCGGGGGGCCGAGTCTTGGCCCTTGTAGATGAGGTGAGCTGGGCGGGGTGGACCTGCTGTGGGGTGGGAGTGAGGAGAAACCAGCAACTCACTGCTTCCACCTCTGCTGCTGACTCAGGAATCCACACCCCAGCTTGCGGTGGTCCTGGCCAGAGTGTTGCATGGAGAGGCAGCCCCCAGCCTGGGTCCCTTCTCCATGGCCTCCCCAGAGGACGTGCAGGCCCTGATGCAGCTGAGAGGGCAGCTGGAGCCACGGTGGAAGATGCTGCAGGTGGCCAGTGAGGCTGGGGGGCCAGGCTCAGGCTGAATGCTTGGGGCCTTGGGCGACAGCTGCCTTAGAGCTCTGTGGGGAGACGGGCTCACGTCCTGGGGAGTGGGGTGCTGCCCTGAACAAGCTCATAGCCGCGTCAAGCAGTTGTGCACCTCTTCCTAGCTCCTCCTTGCGTGCTGTGACCTGGTAGCTTGAAATCGGCCAGGGTGGGAGTATTTACACCCCAGAAAAGACACTACCAACTAGTCCCCCAAGAGCCTGTTGTTAACCATTCACCAGCACACCTCTGCGCCAGGCCTCTGTCCTGAGGGCTAGGCTACGGGGCTGCCCAGGACACTGGCTCAGGGGCTCTGTATCCCCCCGCCCCAGCGCAGACTCCCCCTCCGGCGACCCGTCTCTGCACGGACGGCCCCTCCCTCGCTCCCTCCCCGCCCAATCAGTAAACGTCGGTTAAGCGAAAGTCTGACTCCGTCTCCCTTATTGAGCCCGATTTAGTTAACTCAGTTGATTCCGGCCCCAGCTTCCCCACCGGTGGGAACGAGGCTCCAGGGCGGAAGGGCCCTTGATAGGCGGCCTCCAGGTTCCGCCCCCTCCGCGCGTGCCGCCCGCCTCCCAGATGACGCAGTTCCGGTGCGCTTGCTCCGGCTGTCTGGCTGGTCGCGCGGCGGTGACGCGGTGGCGGGAGCTGGGGCTGCGCGCTGTCCCCGGGGTGAGGGGAGCCGGCAGGCGAGCGGGCGCGCGGGTCTGGCCCACGCTCCGTCCTCGGCGGTGCCTCTGCCGGCCGTCCCCTCTCCGGGGCCCCAAGAAGGCGAGTCAGGCCGCGCTCGAGGGCCCGGCGTGAGAAGGGGGCATGGCCAGCGTCCCCCAGCTGGTGGACGACCTGTGCGAGGCCCTCCTGCCGGCCGCGAAGGCTCACTCTGGCCAGCGCCGCGGGAGCCGCAAGAAGGCCAAGCAGAGCCTCAAGAGGGTGGCCTACAACGTTCTGTTCACGAGCCTCTTTCAAGATGAGACCCGCAAGCTGCAGCCCGGCCTCCCGAGACTCCCGGTGAAAAACAGGATCCTCATGCTGTCCTTCGACTTGCGAGTGAGCGGCCTGGGCGCCGAGGCCGACCGCCTGGAGGAGTTGGTGGAGGAGCTGGAGGCCGCGCATCGCCGGCCGCTGGCGGAGCTGGGATCCGTGCTGGACCTGCTGGTGCGGCTGGCGGGCAGCGGGCCCCCGCGAATGCTGCGGCGCCGGCGGGACTTCTTCCTGCACAGCCGGCCCGTCGGGAGAGACGTTCCCTACGGCGGCTACGACTGCGCCGACCTGAGCGGGTTGGAGGCGGACGTGCGGTCACTCATCTCCGGAGAGGAGTATCTGTGTCGGGACCTGGTCCGGAAGACGCTGCAGGTGATGGAGGCGGCGCCGGGCACCGGCCTGCCCGCCGTCGGGCTCTTCTCGTATGGCGACCCCTGCGGGGACAGGTTTGAGAGGGACACCCGCGTCTCGCTCTTTGGAGCCCTGGTGCACAGCCGCACGGCCGACCTGGACGTCCGCCTGGACCTGCCCCCGGTGCCGGACAGCGCAGACCTCTCCGGACTGGCCATCAAGGTAGAGTGTTTGCTTCCTGCCTCCGGCTCCCCGGGCTTGGGAAGGGCCTCGTTTGACCTTCCTTCCATCGGGGCAAAAGGAGGACAGCTGGAGTTCGGAGCACTGGCGGCTGAGCCGTGGGGACTCCCACCCCACCCCCCTCCCCTCCCGCGCAGCCCCCGGCCACGTGCCGCTTTCCTCTTGTATTTACTGTTCAGTCACTTCTTTTGCCTTCGAGTTGATGTTTAAATTCAAGTTCATGACGATGAAATAAATCCGGTTCCTTCTTGCGTTTCAAGTGTTCAGTAGCCATAGGTGGCAAAAAACATTTGTCCCTGCTGTTCGTGCAGTGTTATATGCTGTTTTCCCGGTAAGGTGGGATTTTTCCGTTATTAAGTAAATTGTCGTTTGCCTTTGCATTTTGCGGCTTTGCTGAAAGGGTGCTCTGTCATCGTTCAGTTATTCCCTTACTGTGAGGCATTTAGATTGTTTTCAACCATAATGCTATAGCAAACATGTTGGCGGACGTGAGTTTTTCTGTGTCTATGTGATTTTTTTATGCTGGGTTCCCCAAAATGGAATTTCCAGATCGGAGACACCTTGTGAAAAATGTCATTGTAAGTTATGTTGAGGCTCGTAAGCCTCAACAAGCCTGTGTTGTGTGAAATTGGGAATTGGTAATGAATTAGTTTAATTCCTTAAACGATTCCTTAGGGGTGAAAACATGGTGTACTACTTATGTGCTTGAGAAAAATAGAAGAAACGTTCTGCCGGGTCTTTCCCATAGAGGAAATGGAAGCGTGTGGAAGTGCCCCTGGAACTCTCATCCCACTCAGGTGAAACCTAGACACCATGTCCAGGTGAAATGTCCTTTTCCCTTGGCCTCTAGGTCCCTTCGAGTGTGGATCAGTCGGAAGATGAAGGGTTCCAATCAGCATCCAATCTGACTCCTGATTCCCAGTCAGAGCCGGGCGTGACTCCAGACATTGACCTGTGGGACGCCGTGCTCACCTACGAGGCCAGCAAGCGGAGGTGCTGGGAGCAAGTTGGATGGTTCGTGAGCTTTGCCTTAAAATGCACAGTGCCCCCCCACCCCTGCCCCCCCGGTGAACCTGGCCTTTACTCAGAGAGCCCAGGTAGTTGGGTTTAGGAACTTGGAAGTTTCAGTCAAGCTGTGTACAAGTTGTCTGCGCCCTAGGGGTTGAGAGAAGTGCAGGGGGAGAGGGCTCTCGGGCCTACGCAGGTTCCCACTGAACCAGTAACTTCTGCAGATCGCACTTCGCAGTCCGACTGGTCAGTTGGCAACTGAGTTACATCCTGGCCACGGTGGCTCCCAGTCGGAGGTGTGTGGTCAGTGCCGGGCATGGGGTGCTGACGAGGGAACGTTCTTCACGTCTATAACGACTGAGGGTGGTCCTCTGGTGAGAAGTTCGGTCCTCGCAGTGTTTCCCTGGTAGATGCTCTTCCCGTCCACGGCCTTTGCACACAGGATCTCTCAGTCTGTAGTGTGCTGGTGTCTCACAACCTCCCAGAGTGGGGGTAGAGGACACATTTCCCAAATGTTTGGTCATGGGATTCTCTTGTTGCATCTCATCTGCTGGCATTTTTGTGGGATGCCAGTTTGGGGAGCACTGAGTGAACGAGGTGGGGTTCCCAGGGAGCCGAGTGCCTCCCAAGGGTGAGCACGCCCTCGGGGATGCTGTGTGGGCCCTGCTCCTGCTGGGGTCGCTTTCCTGGCGTGGTCATCTTCCCCCACATGGATTCCCCCAGGCAGGGCCAGCTTCCTGCTTCCCCAGGCACCGTCCGTTTTGGTGGTTGTCTTGTCTTTGAGGGGCTTCTCTGCCCTGTGACTTCCCGTTAAGTCTTCACCCTGTCTTGTGTGCACAAAGCAAATCTAATCGCTCCGCTGTTTTCTAAAACCTCACAAGTCTAAACACTGGCCATCAAGGAACTACTACTTTCTTTTGTAAATATTCGTTAGTGGTATTTCATTTACCAGTTCCCACTTTGCTAGGCTCAGTTTTGCAGGTCACTGTTCAGGAGACGTGGTTGCTCAGCTGGTCAACATCCTCGTCCCTTTTTCTGAATGCGCTTAATCCCCTCAGTGTCCCGTGAAAGCAGAACTGGCCCCACAGCTCCAGCGTGAGGAGTACCTTGCGGTGTCCCTTCCAGGAGGACGGCAGCCAGTGCGATAGCCTGTGCCCCACGCTCCCGCCGGAGACGCCCGGCCAGCTCGTGGCTGGGCACGGCCTGAGCTCACTCCCCCAAAGCTCTTCCACTGTCTGCTCCATCGTAACCTGCTGCCCCAACCCCTGAGGCCTGTCACTCGAGTTCATTTGGAGAATCTCGGGAACTTGTTGCAGTTGAATCCCAGCCGCCTGCTAGTCTCCTGCCGGGAGCTCTGACGAATGGGCAGTTGCGGCGCCCTGTCCACCTGCAGCCCCTGGATTGTGAGCTCTGCCCTCTCCTTGAGAACCCCCAGAGGACCCCCCGCCCCTGTGCCTCACCCTGTGAGCCAGCGTCGGTCTCCCTGCTGCCAGGAGTCCTCTGTGTCTGTCGCCCTTTCTGGGGAAGTGGTTTCATTGATGTTAAAGGCCAAGTTCTCTGTGGGTCCAAGTGTGAGTTTGTTTTCCTTCATGGACTCTCCTCCCTCAGCTCTGAGCCACTGAAAGGGTCGTGTGGCCACAGTGGTCGGGAGTTGACCCTGGAAGAGTGGGCAGGAGCCTAGCACTCGAGTGCGCAGTGGGATGGTGCTTGCAGCACATGCATCCCCCGGGGGACCCCCTGGAGGGCCATTCGGAAGGACCCTGGAGGTCCGAGTCTCCTCCTTTCCTCGAGCTCTTCCTGTCCCAAGGGAGTGTGGGCTGGTGTCGTGGCCCAGCTGGGCCCCACCTGCTGATCGGGGCACTCAGGACCGTCCTGCCCGCTTCTCCTGCCCACTCAGGCTGTCCTCCACTCGGCCAGTTCCACTTCCCAGGGATGGAAATCAGAGGTGCGCCGCCACTCCGCCTGCCATGCCTCATGGCCTCCCCATCTGGACTGTGGACCGCCGGCCCCTGCCCTCGCCCTCCCCACACTGAGCCCCCAGCACCTGGCCCCTTTCTCTTCCTGTCTCTGGGCTTTCACACAGGCCACTCCCTCCGCCAGGGACACTGCTCCAGGTGTGGCCTTGCTCCTGGGGCCTTCCTGACCAGGGTCTCGGGTCCCTCTGGGACCCGTGTCATGGGCAGTGAGTCGCGCCTCCTTGTAGCTTGTGTCCGCGCACCTGCCCCATGAGGACTGGGCTTGTCCTGCTCTGGCCGCTGCTCTCAGACACTTGGTGAGTGAGGGAAGGAGCGCATTATGGTGCAGTGTTCGTTAAAAAGCATTTTTGTTTTTGACAAGCTCTGAGATTTTTCTCGGGCTCCTTTTATTGAGAAATTACTTTTTCCAGTGGATTTTAAAGAACAGCTCTTTCATACTTTCAGTAGGGTTGGTGGTTTCCAAAGGAATGTTTAAGAAGTGATACTGGCCTTCCCTGGTGGCGCAGTGGTTGAGAGTCAACCTGCCGATGCAGGGAACACGGCTTCGTGCCCCGGTCCGGGAGGATCCCACATGCCTTGGAACGGCTGGGCCCGTGAGCCATGGCCGCTGAGCCTGCGCGTCCAGAGCCTGTGCTCCGCAACGGGAGAGGCCACAGCAGTGAGAGGCCCGCGTACCGCAAAAAAAGAAAAGAGAAGTGATACTGTCTTTTTGGCCTCTTTTGAACAGTGTGACCGGGCTGGGCAGACACTGGTAGTTCCTGAACTTCCTACAGGACCCCCATAGGCAAAGACCTCAGGGGTGGATGTGTGCCCAGAGCCACCCTCTGTGAGACCCAGCTGGCCTGATTTCTCCTGGAATTTCAGGAG